ATATGGTTCCAATATGGTTCCAATATGGTTCCAATATGGTTCCAATATGGTTCCAATATGGTTCAATATATGGTTCCAATACGTCAGATTTGCCAAATGTCAAATTTGCCAATTCTAGATTCACTCACTTGATTCTAAACATCAAAATTAGATGATGATTGATTCATTTAAAGAAAATATTTGTTAAAAGATGTTTTGATTGACTGAATAGCTTTCAAATAATAAAAAGATATTCAATGAAACAAAGAAAATGAAAAAAAGCTCATATGAGAAAGAATGAATCTTCTATGGCAAGATGAGAATAGGATAAGAAGAAAATTTGTGTCTTTTAACAAATCTGATGATAATAAGTTAAATAAATCAATAATAAGTTATATAAATCGATAATAAGTTAGATAAATCGGTACTTGGAAGGGTGATCCTTTTTCCAAACCCATTTCTTGTATGATATTCTAATTCTAATTATTAGGTTGGTGCAGATGAAACTTCCGTCACACTTGTTTGTTTATATTTTGAACCTAATAAAAGTTTTTATTGAAGATATTTGTCTATCTGAAAGAGCGTCTCTTTGCGCGTCTTTTCATATCTAAGCCTTAAGCGTTTTACTTAATTTGAAGTAATTTTTAGCTTCTAGAAAATGGTTGGCGAAAAATTTCGAGTGCGGGTTTGCTTGTTGTATGATTTTAAACAAGGCAGAACGCCTGCGGAATCTCATCGTGCTCTGTGCAAAGCATTCGGCGATGACGTGTTGTCCGAACGTCAATGCCGGACTTGGTTTCAGCGCTTCCGAGACGGTGATGAGAGTTTGGAAGACGAAAAACGCGGGAATCCGCCTCAAATTGTCGACAACGATGAGTTGAAGAACGCTATCGAATCGGATTCATGCCAAACAACTCGAGAGCTTGCAGAGCTGTTTGACTGCGACCATACAACCATTCTCCGCCATTTGCACGCATTTGGTAAGACGAATCGGTGTGGAAAATGGGTGCCACATCAGCTCAGCGACGCAAACAAAGCGGCTCGAGCTACAATGGCTGGAATTCTCGACTCTATTGTTACGGCAGATGAAAAGTAGATATGTTACGACAACACAACAAGAAAACGGCAGTGGTTGGACGCCGGTGAACCGCCAAAACCGACTCCCAAACCGAATATCCACGGAAAAAGGTGATGCTTTGTATTTGGTGGAATAGTAAAGGTCTCGTGTATTTTGAGGTGCTGGATTCGGGCCAAAGAGTCACGGCGGATCTCTACAAAACCTAATTGAGCCGCGTGGACCAGGCATTGCGTCGTCAAGGCAATAACACAGCGACTACAAAATTGCTTCGCGATAACGCTCGACCCCACACCGCAAAGATCACTCAGCAGAAAATCGAGGAATTGGGCTGGGAAGTTCTGCCTCATCCGCCATATAGCCCGGACTTGGCCCCATCCGACTACCACTTGTTTCGTTCGATGCAGCACTCTTTAGCAGAAAAAAAATTCAAAAACCGCGAAGAAGTTGAAATCTGGGTGTCCAACTTCTTCGAGTCGCAGTTGCCCGAGTTCTTCGAAAAGGGCATCCATTCTCTGCGTGGAAGATGGCAAAGAGTCATTGATAATGATGGCGAATATCTTTTGGATTGAGGTTCTGTATTAGGATTTTTATAATAAATTTTGTTTATGGTTCCAACGGAAGTTTCATCTGCACCAACCTAATAATTAATGGCCTGATCAGATTTGTCCTTAAACTGTAACAGGCTTAAAGTAATTAAATCTTTGAACCTTTGAAATGATAACTTGATGTATCTTTTAACCTTTGAAATGATCATTTTATGTAGCTTTGAGCTTTTTAAACGATAACTTTATGTATACCAGCAGTTACATTTACTACAGTTTATTAATTTGCTAATGAATTTGCTAATGAATTTGCATTTCATTAACTAAATCAAATCTGTAGAGAAAAGGAATCAAATCTGTAGAGGAAAGGAATCAAATCTGTAGCGAAAAGATGCTTTGACCAAATCTCGATGGGATTCCGCGACCGTTTTGCCCAGTTTGAAGTCGTAAAGTAAGCAGACGCGAATTTGATACATTTGACAATTGACAATTGACAAATTTACAATTTGATACATCTAAAGATTCGATTGCAGCCCTCAAACTATCGTTGTCTACCGCTTGGGGTAGACAGCGATATTCTTGACGAGAGTGTTCATGATTCTCGAGACTTTCATCACTGTTCCGAAGGCATTGGAACCAGGCTCGGCATCGGCTTTCGGACAATACATCATTCCTCTAATCTAATCTGTAGAGAAAAGGAACCAAATCTGTACCGAAAAGGAACCAAATCTGTAGAGGAAAGGAATCAAATTTGTTACATTTACTACAGTTTATTAATTTGCTAATGAATTTGCATTTCAATAACTAAACTGAGTTTGAGAGGAAAATTTTCCCGTTTACCCGAAATCCCTTTGACCCTTTGAATCCTTTAATCCTTTGAACTTTTCAGCCATTGCCGCTTTCTCAAAATACAAAAGTTTTTTAAAATTTTTCTAATGCTAAAGGATAAGCATATTTTCACCAATAACTCTGAGAAAATAAACTTAAAATTCATTTTTGAAGTACTCTTTGATCTCATCGCCAAAGCCTTTGATCTCCAAATCCAATTTTTCGAACTTTCTTGACTTTCTGTACAGCCTAATCCAATTGACATTGACATTGACAATCCAATTGATAGATTAATCTCTCGGAAATTCCATTGCTGTTGCTTTTCAATGAAGTTTTTAACTTCTTTTTTATGATTCGTTGTGTTTCGTCGAGTTTTGCATTTTGAACTCGGTAATCGCCGTTTTTAAACTTTCTGAAACGGGGAGATTTTTCGCTTGAATCTCTTTTCATACAATACAATGTTCACTGCACTCTTTATCTAGACTTTGGTGTACTTTGTGTACTGTATTGTAGTGTACTTTGGGTACTATATTATAGTGTACTTTGGGTACTGTATTATAGTGTACTTTGTGTACTATATTATAGTGTACTTTGTGTACTTTATTGTACTGTAAGCGCACATTTCTATTGCATTGCACATTGCACATTTCATTTCTACTGAATTCTTCTTTTTTCTTACATCAAAGACCTGATTGATCAAGAAAAATGAAGAATTCGTCAAACAAGTGATTGCTGTGAGAAAAATTAAGAATTTAGTGCACTAGAAAGAATGTTTTTACAAGTTTGAGCACAAAACACACTCAGAAGGACCAATAGGATCGATACCCTGATGGATAAGCATCTTTAGACCAATCAACAGGGTGCCCCACAGTCCTGGTGGCAAAATTTCAACAAAAGTCGATCTATTTTGTTAAAACAAATAGTAATAATAATCTTTTTATTTAAAACATTTTATTGAATAATATTTCTGCTGTTTTCAAGTTTAAAAATGTACCTCTGCGAGTGTTTTTTCCTTGCTGATGAAGAGCAATGGCTGAATACAGCTCTTTCTTCGACTTTATACCTAAAAACAATCAAATCATCGAATCAATGAGAAAAGAAAGTAAGAAAGAAAGACAGAAAGAAAGAAAGAAAGCAGTTAAACGTAAGATGCACGTGACCAGTATAGACAAGATAGCTGTAGCTATTAGACTAAAAAAGGCTGTATTTTGTTAATCTGTAAGTCCAACCTTTCTGGTGCACTCAGTTCTTCATTTTCTTTGGCAACAATGTTTGGATATCACAGGAAAATGAAGCCCTCAGGGCACCAGAAAGCATGTGTTTACAGGAGCACAAAGAACAAAGCTTTTCGCTTTCTAGTCCAACCAAAAAGTACTCGAAACAAGAGCGTTCAAAGCAATTCCAAGAAAACATTGTTTCTCTGTTTTTTTTCCAACTCTTTCTGAATTATTCACAATCGACCACCAAAAGCTTCCCCTTTTTCGTTTTTTTTCGGGAAAAACCCTTCCCAAAATGCATTCTCATCTCGATGGGACTTGTGAAGAATTTTTTTAGTTTTTGAAGATTTTCTGAAGATTTTCCAAGCATTGTTTTTTCTTCCATTCATCATTTCATAAGTTTTCATCAATGAGAACGTTTGCGTGCTTTGAAAATTTATAGAAATAAGCTGAAAGCTGGTTTTTTCTTGGCCAAATCTGTCAACTTTCAGCCACTAAAGTCCAGAAGAGTGATTCTAAGATGTGTCCTCTTTCTTCCGTAATCTTGTCTCTATTTTTATCCAATCTCTTCACTTTTTGTCTGATTCTGTGAAGGTTTAAAAAGAATATCGAAAGCTCTTGAGTACTTTTTAGAGAATGGTTTTTAAGGCTACCGTAAATACTGTAATTGAAGGGCACCCTTCGCACAGAAAATTGGTTGCTCAAAAAGTCACGACTTTTGAAAAAGAGTTTGGGTTTAAAGTGCTTAGAATGGTGTATATGGACCGTATTTATAATCTAGACGGGTTGGCAGATCTAGATCTAGACGGGAAATGATCTAAACAAAATTTTTCAAATATTTTTTCGAAAAAAATTGTAAGGGCCATTTTCGAGAGTCCCACCTCCAGGGAAAAAGGCTAAAAAAACTTTCTTGTTTTAAAAATGCTTTTCGTTCGTTTTAGAGCATTTCGAATTAAGCTAGAGTGATTTTAAAAGATTTTTATGACGCTAATTGGTGGGCAAATCTGCTTTCAGCCTTTCTCTAATCCTCTTCTACAAAAGAAACAAAGAAAAAGGATGTTTCGATAAGGTTTTAGAGGGCAAAGGATTGCATTCCTCTTAAAGCTTTTCTTAAAAAGCTCTTCAAAGCTTAGTGCACTTCAAAAAGCTACTGTAAGCCCGGGGTTTTTTGGTGTCAACGAAAATAAGCTCCTTTTAAACTACGTTTAAGTTAACACGCTTTAGAAATCTTCCTAACATATTGCTCTTTTGTTTTCCACTTTTGAAACCTTTCATTTTTCATTTTTCATTTCATTGTTCGCTTTCCATTTCAATCTCAATATATTCTCTTATTCTCTCCGATTTTCAGCTATCAGAATGCGTGAAGAGGCGAGTGTGCCTTTGGTGGAAAAAGCGGGTGTTGGGGATGATCGAACGGGAAATGCATCCACATCAGAAGTGCCTCAAAAAGAACAAAATCACAAGCAACCACGACAATCGCAGCCACACATTGCACACCACAAATTCGGGCTTCGGCTGAGCACGGAGAAGATGCGAGCACCCAGTGAGTGACAAAGAGTTACAGTAGAGTTAGTTCTTTAGTATTATACAATACATTTGATAAAGCTACCTTAATCTTACGGCCAGGGCTGTAGTAAAGCCAGGCAAATACTGTAGCCAGGGCAAGCACAGTTCTGTACTCTTTCCTTCTAAAAGGTGAACTCTAAAAGCTACTGTAATCTTGCGTGCCTTGGGTTTTTCTGCAAAGTCAGGCTAGTCAAAGAGTTACACTGATGCTTAGAAATGTTCTGACTGATGCTTAAGAATGTTCCGCTGAGGCTTTCGGGTTGGTTGGAATAAGTCAGGCTGTGTCAGGCTAGAACTAGGCCCAGAACAGGTTTAGGTCTGACGTTAGGCCAGGTGAGCCCAGGAATTTTTGTGAGTCAGGCTTAGAGTAAATCTAGGCCAAGACTTTGCTCTGGAAAATTGCTTTGGGATTGGGAGAATCCTGGTAACTTATATTTGAACTATTGTATTAGACCTAAAGTACAAGCTGAGTAGGACCAGGGTAGGACCAGGGTAGGACCAGGGTAGGACCAGGGTAGGTAGAAGGGTAGGTAGAAGGGTAGGTAGAAGGGTAGGTAGAAGGGTAGGTAGAAGGGTAGGTAGAAGGGTAGGTAGAAGGGTAGGTAGAATCAGGATAGGATACAATCAAACCTAAAGACAATCCGGCTGACTACAATTAAAAAGGCACAGAAAGAGTACGATAGCGTCGAGGGCAAGCTTAGGAAGCACACAGAGTACTACAGTTTAAAACCCATAGCGTCAAAACTTTTCATCAAACTGATCCCCATTTTAAGCTCATCAGACAAAAACTCTCCTTTTCTTGACCTCGTAACAATCAAAATCAGACCATGACTAATTGATAATGATTGTCTGTCTCTCCTCTGGTGTTGACGTAAAAATTCACACTGAATCACTCAAAAGGGGAAAATGAGTGCTCTGATGAATTCGATTGGAGCAAAATACAGTGCTGGAAAAAAGTATTGATCGCCTTGCATTAATTTGATTGTTTTGCCTATAACTTTTTTTCATCCATTTGATTTTGATCAGCTCAAAAGTTTTAGATATATATAATTGCCTCTCTTCGGCATCCTTTCGATTAATTTCTGAAGAGATGACACCGGAATTGCCTGCCATATTTCATCCCAAAGCTCAGCTGGGGAAGAAAAGCGACGTTCCCTCAAATGTTGCTTCACTTGTGCCCACAGGTGCTCAATTAAATTGCAATCGGGCGAATGCGTGTCGAGAAAAACATTGTTAAGTCAAAACCAGCTCGGAAACGAGCAAAATGGCAATTGTGAAGCTTCAATCTCCTGCCCATGCCCTGGAGTTATGGATTCGGCCCATCATTAACGCGCTTTTATGTTTCGGGTTTCGTCTTGTTGATAAAGCCAGGCGACTCCAATATTTGCTTGTGCGTGAGATCGCATCTTGTTCTGCACGACATCACAGTATTTGAACGAATCTATAATTCCATCGATTTTTTCGAATCTATAATTCCTCACAAGTCGAATCGCTTTTCCCGAGAAGCATCGCCAACACATCATTTCTCCCCCATTAAATTTTTGTAACTGTCCAGAGGATGAGCCTTGCTTTCGTTGTTTCCATTGAACTCCCTAAACCATCTTACAATTTGGTTGTGGCCTTCCTTGTGGTTCAGCTACGAAAAGTTCCGGATTCTCCGCTCCCAAATGGAAATAAATTGCTTTCTCATTCCAACACAAAATTTATCGCACAAAACAATACTTTTAATTAAAAACAATTGAAAAATAAAAAAAATTCAATTAAAAACAATTATAAAGGAACTATAAAGGAACTATAAAGGAACTTTAAAGGAACCAAATAGGAACTATAAAGGAACTATAAAGGAACTATAAAGGAACTATAAAGGAACTTTAAAGGAACCAAATAGGAACTATAAAGGAACTATAAAGGAACTATAAAGGAACTTTTTCGGCCTACTTTTCCTTTTTGCAAATCATTTTTATTTAATTTTTTCTGTTATTAAAGTCATAAATGCATATTGGGTTTTATATTTGAAAACCTTAATAACTTTCTAGTATTGAGCTGATCAAAATCGAATGGATGAAAAAAAAGTTATAGGCAAAACAATCAAAGTAATGCAAGGCGATCAATACTTTTTTTTCCAGCACTGTATTATCATTTTCGCTCGAAATTAGCCTGCTGATTTTTGGATTTTCTATTTCTAATAATAATGATTGAAGAAGAAAAGGATAGTAAGTAAAGTTTTATGGTTTTAAGTTCTTATCTTGGCTTAAAGAATTTTAAAACTTTCAAATTTGACTCAACAGTTGGTTGTTAATGCAAATTTAGAGTTTCCACGTAATTCCGAATTCCGCATTTTTCCAGGAGCACAAAAATTTCAGTGTACATCCAGTTCACTGAATTTTTTGCGTTTCTGGAGTGTCAAGCTTGAGTCTATTCATTTAGGAAACAAGTTATAATGAACAATGCAACTGTTAGCCAAGACCAAGCCATGCGTATCGCTTAAATTCGAAATCTGGTCTTAGAAGCAGCTCTGATCGATTTGTCAGCTCTTTGTCAACGTTCAGAAACCAAAGCCTTAGGTTTTAGGCGGATTTGGGTTTGGATTTGATAGCAGACTTGAGTTTGATCTAAGATTATCTAATATTATCTTATTTTATCTAATCTTATCTAATCTTATCTAAGATTATCTTATTTTATCTAAGATTTAAAAGCTAATGTTCAATTTTTGCGTTTCTGGAGTGTCAAGCTTGAGTCTATTCATTTAGGAAACAAGTTCTAATGAAAAATGCAAGCCAAGCCTACTTTGATCCTGTATGTTTAAATTTCAGGCCACAAAACGTCCCTCCTATTAGCATTTTGTCGTCAGCTCTCACTTTCTTCAATATTCCGGCTTATTGGCGAAGCGATCGGCACGTATCCGCTCGCTTTCCTCATCTCGGCGCTCATCCTTTGCTCAACTTCAGGTAATAGTTCGTTTCCTGAAACGTGTCTTCTTTCTACTACAATCTTGTCCTGTTCTACCACAGTCTCTGTTTTTTATTCAATCTATTCACTTTTCTGATCCTGTCATTAGCTCTATTAAAGTCTGTAGAACTTGCTGCTGATCATAAAACTTGTTGCAGATCATAAATTGAGTTGGGGGACGAATTTGATTGGTGCAACAAGTTAAGTTCACTTGACTCAATAAAAACTCGTAATCTAAACCACTGTAGATCAGCTATTGTGGACTTCAACTTTAAAGACAACTATTTAAAACAATTGCCAACAATTGTTAGCAACAATTGCCACCAAAACAATCACATCATCTTTTCAGTGGGAATGGTTCAATTGCATCTACGGGACAACGTGCGAGATGGTTTCACTCCGTACACCTCGTCGGCAAAATTCGAAGCTGAGACGTACAAGCAGTTCTTGAACGCTAAAGGTATGAAAATCTAGGTGTATCAAATCAAAAATCAAAAAGCTAAACTAAAAGTATTTGGCGCCTTTAATGTAAAAGTGCTAAAAGTTTAAGTGATATTTGCAATTTGATGATAACAATCTACATTGTATTTCGACTTTCAAAGTAAAATTTCGTAGTCGGCTTTGATAAAAAACTACATTTTTTGAAACATCAAGGGATAGCACGGGCGCGGCCTAAAAATGTGTGTTATAGCTCAAAAAATTACCCATTTTCTCTACTTTAATTTGATACCTAAACGTCTAGAAAAAAAACGTACTGGTGTCAAGATATGAGCGTTTGTTTGAGAGTAAACTTAGACTACGTGACGCTCCTATGGGGGCTGCTTTTATTAGAGTATTTACGGTATCTTTAGCTGGATTTAGCTATGGCTAAGGTTTAATATCTTAGACTGATATCTTATACTGATATCTTATTTTAATATAATCTCTTATATATGTCGTAGCCGATGAAGGATTTCAGCCGAAGAAGTCTCAAAAATGAAATCTTGAGTTATGTATTGACTCAAGTCAATACCACAAACTCAAGCTCTCTAAAAGGCGCTTAAAAGCTAAAAACGCATTCTACTTGCAGTTGCATTTTGCATTTTTCATTGCAAGTTGCATTTTTCGACCAAACTAAACAACAAAAATAAACAATAATACCACCGGTTCACGAGTTCTTTGACCTAAAATCAAACAAAATAAAGCGTCATAAAGAGATTCGATAGGACACAAAAGTAAAAGCTTACCAATCTGTTGGCGAACTCCTTTCCGTTGTCGGACTAAAGAATTTTTGGGGCTCCAAACGTTCCGAATATTTCCATTAGATGATCGACAACTTCAAATTGTGTTTTCCTTTGCAATGCCCGCAAAACGACGAACTTTGTGAAATGATCCTGGTAGACCATCAAAAACTTGAATTCTCCATAAGAAACGGATTGAGGATCGATTAAATCCGTGCCTTTGACGAATGACGAAAAGGGCCCTTTTATAGCCTTTGGTCATAGTGCGCACTCTGCGCATGCGCACTCTTTAGGATGCCTTTTTAGCTTTTAAGCGCCTTTTAGAGAGCTTGAGTTTGTGGTATTGACTTGAGTCAATACATAACTCAAGATTTCATTTTGAGACTTCTTCGGCTGAAATCCTTCATCGGCTACGACATATACAAGGCTCAACCCTTTCAGGCGATCCAATGACCACTTCGGTACTAATGGTGGCCAAGGATGGAGGATCAATGCATCGAGTCGATCACTTGTTAGAGGTCCGAGAAACGATCAACTACATCAGTGAGCTGAATACCGTAATAAAAGCGATGAAATTGATATTCAGCCAACAATTTGACTACCTTTTACGAAGATCGACCCGTCACATATCGAGATTTCTGCGGCGCTTACTGTGACGCGAATCTCCCCGTCCTCACGTTCATCGTCGGTTTTTAAAAAGTTAAAAAGCTAAAATACTTAAAAATATTGTATACTAAAGCTAAAAAAGCTTCATTTTCTAGGAATCTTATCTCTCCAAGTTAAACAACGACACCAGTTTCCAGGTGGAGATCGCGTTGACGTGAGTTGCTAAAAATTAGCATATAAATTAGCGGATAAATTAGCAGATAAATTAGCAGATAAATTAGCATAGAGATTAGAGATTTATTCTTAGATATAAGAAATTTATATGTAAATCTAGATCTAGATCATTTAAATCTAGATATCCCATCGCTAAAGTGGTCACTTTTGACATTCCAATTCACTTGGAGCGAAATTTTTTCGGCGTTAATGTGACAACGGACGAGAAAGCGATGAAAATCACGAATATTGAGTCAATAAAGGTTAGATTTTCTTGATTTAAATTCAAAAATACTGTAAATTTGTTGAAATTGTTGAAATTGTTGAAATTGTTGAAATTGTTGAAATTTAAACGTTTAAAAGGCTTTGTTATTCAATTTTTTTACTCCAAAAACTACTAAAAGATTTTTTTAATAAATCTTTGTAAATAAATAAATTAATTAATTAATGAACTTTCCTTTTCACTACAGATTTGCTTCCCCTTCGTTACAGATTTGGTTGCTTTTTTCTACAGATTTGATTCCTTTAGTCCAAACATTTGGTTCTTTTTCTCTACAGATTTGGTCTACAGATTTGTGTGTACAGATTTGATTTCTTGATTTGATGTTTTTGACAGAGGTGCGATACTCATTGATGAAATATTTCTGAAATATCAATCTTAAGTCGATCCTATTTGGTTTGGTTCCTTTTCGGTACAGATTTGGTTCCTTTTCAGTACAGATTTGGTTCCTTTTCAGTACAGATTTGATTCCTTTTCTCTATACAGATTTGGTTCCTTTTCGGCACAGATTTGATTCCTTTTCGGTACAGATTTGGCTCCTTTTCTCTATACAGATTTGGTTCCTTTTCGGTACAGATTTGGTTCCTTTTCTCTTTAGATTTGGTTCCTTTTCGGTACAGATTTGGTTCCTTTTCGGTACAAATTTGGTTCCTTTTCTCTTCAAATTTAGTTTTCAAATTTTTCGTTTAAAAGCAAGAGAAACAAATCAACGAGTACTATAAAAAGTACAAAGTGTTCAATCTTTAAAATTTGCTAATCTTGGTTTTAACATTTTAGTTAATCTTGGCAACTTTCTTGGGTGAACTGAAGAAAGATGGGGATGATGGAAGGATGAGAGCTTGGGAGATGCAAGTTTACTCGTGGGCAAGACAAAGGAAGAGTCGTTTAATCGATGTTTTGGTGAGTGGCTAAAAGGAAAGATCGGTATTTTCCTTGCAATTGCAAAGGATTGAACAAAAACTACTGTAATAGTACCCCACCGCCCTCGTACAGTCGCGTAGTCGCAAAAGTTTTTTAGTATTTTAGTATTTAATTTTTTTCAAAGCGCCCGTACTTTCAAAAAATGCGTGTTTGGTATCAAAAAATAGCTGAAATTCAGGGCTATTTTTTGATACCAAAACGAACATTGTAGCATAGACCAGTGTCGAGAAAAACACGTTCAAAAACTCGTTCTTCAAATTCCCCAGGAGTTCTTCAAATTCCTTAGGCTAAACCAAAACTATGCAGGCTTACTACTTACAGTACTCTGAGTTATTGTACTGATACGATTTGAATCTGATAATGATACGATTAACAAGTTGATACTAATTCCAGGTGATCGGTGTCGAGATCGTTGATGTGGAGATCAACCGTGAGGCGCAGAGGATGTCTCCATATTTCGCTTACGGTTTCATCTCGATGTTTCTCTTTGTTTGCTCGACCGTTTACTTCTCGGCGCTCTATTTCGATCGATTGTCATGGTGCGAATGTTTATTAATACAAAAACCCCAAAGTCCTAGCAATGAATTAGCGTCCGTCAAAGGCGGCCAAACTATCGTAACCTTGTATCGATTCTATTTGATTTTAATCTGATTTGAGCCACTTCTGATTCCTTATTGAATCAAATTACAATATAAGCAAGTAGAAGGGGGTAATCTGAATGCAAAGCTGCAGTAGCAAGCAAAGCAAGTAGTTTTAAAGTTATCCACCTTTTAGAACTGGCTTTTGTAGATCTGACAATGACCTCTAATCTCTACAGTAGTCTGTAGGGATACTGTAGGCTTTCTACAAGTTCAATAGGCTCCTACAGGCCCAATAGGTTCCTACAAGCCTCCTAGAGCTTCTACAAGCCTCATAGGACTTCTCCAAGTCTCATAGGCATACTGGAGGCTTGCTACAGGGCCAATAGGCTCCTACATGCCCAGTAGAAGCCTACAAGCCTCATAGGGCTCCTACAATCCTCCTAGAGCTCCTACAAGCCTCCTAGAGCTCCTACAAGTCTCATGGGACTCCTACAATCCTCATAGAGCTCCTACAAGCCTCATAGGACTTCTCCAAGCCTCATAGGCATACTGGAGGCTTTCAACAGGTCCAATAGGCTCCTACAGGCCCAATAGAAGCCTACAAGCCTCATAGGACTCCTACAAGACTCATAGACATAATGTAGGATTTTACAGGCCCAATAGACTCCTCCAAGCCCTATAGGCCTACTGGAGGCTTTCTACAGGTCTAATAGGCTCCTACAAGCCTCATAAGGCTTATTTGAGCCTCATGAGGCTCCTATAAGCCTCATAGAACCGGACCTGGCTTCTGCTTTGAACAGATTGCTTTGTGCTTTAATAAGCAACCATTTCAGGTACACCGTCATTGTCGCCTTATGTTCAACGGTTGTCCCGGTGATGGCGATCACCTCAACCCTAGGCGCTTTGTCGATTTTCGGTTCCCCCATCAATCAACTCTTGCTCATCATGCCGTTTTTGATCATGGGAATTGGTTGCTTTTAAAATTTAAGTACTCAACTAAAGGCTTTAGGTGTAAACGACTCATTTTTGACGGTACACGCCTGGTTGCGGCAATCGAATCACGAGGATCTCGCGATCACAATGGGACGGGTGAGTTCGAGATTTGTACGTACTTTAGGCTCAAACCTATAAACGCACATTTTCCGGTGTACTGAATCTGATAATATTTAGGTTTTCGAAGAGGTTGGCCCATCGATTACAACAACCACCCTCACTAATGTGATCACTTTTTTGATTGGGGCACTAACACCGACAAGTGGTCAGTTTGATTAGGATTAAATTGTATAACGGCTTACTGTAGAGGTACAGTACTCTGTCAGAATCTTGTAAAATTACAATAAGTGTCGGCTTATTGTGAGTAGCTTGATTCTGAGTAACTTCAGCTTTCCTTGAAGGCTTTCCTTGCTTCAGCTTTCCTTGAAGGCTTTCCTTGCTTCAGCTTTCCTTGAAGGCTTTCCCTGCCTCAGCTTTCCTTGAAGGCTTTCCTTGCTTCAGCTTTCCTTGAAGGCTTTCCGAGCCTCAGCTTTCCTTGAAGGCTTTCCTTGCTTCAGCTTTCCTTGAAGGCTTTCCTAGCCTCAGCTTTCCTTGAAGGCTTTCCTTGCTTCAGCTTTCCTTGAAGGCTTTCCGAGCTTCAGCTTTCCTTGAAGGCTTTCCGAGCCTCAGCTTTCCTTGAAGGCTTTCCTTGCTTCAGCTTTCCTTGAAGGCTTTCCGAGCCTCAGCTTTCCTGCTTCAGCTTTCCTGCTTTAGCTTCCCTTTCCTGAAAATTAGTCACTTTGTTTGCTGAATACCTTTATTTATATTGTAGTGATTGGATATTGCAATGAGAATGAGTTGAAAAATGTGATGATATTTCCAGAGATCTCAATTTTCTGCTTTGGCACAGCGATCGCCCTTGGAATGGCGTACATCTACACGTTGATCCTCTTCGGCCCAATCCTCTACTATGCTTCACCGAAAGAAACAAAGCCAATCATTCGAGCGCAAACTGGTTGGAGGCTAAAGGTTTGTAAGGATTAAAACTTGAATAGCAACTATGTAGATAGTGAAACATTCTCTTATACAGATCAGGCTCATTCAAGGTTCAAGGCTCAGAGCGCATTCAAACTGCATACCGGATTTTCTCTAATAGTAGTGCACCCAGAGTGTTGCCTAGATTGCTCGAAATCTCGAAAAGCGCTTATCAGAACCTATCGATGTGGGGTCGAGAAATGTAGCTGACGATGAGATCTAGTGGAGGATTAGAGTGTTGGGCTTCTGTAACAACTTTGAAAGCCGTAAAACTTCCACCGGCTTGATTTATTGGATTGTGAGAAATTTGACGGCGTTGTTTTGAACGTTTTCTATTATGGCGCTGTTTGAACTAGATCCTCAATTTTTATTTGGTTAATCTTAATCGGCTGAGAAACTTAATTGGTCTATATCTCGTAACCAATTGAGTGTATTTGTTACGTCCGATCTAGACTGATTCTAGATCGAACGTCCGATCTCGAGTGAAGTGAGGACAAACGTCCGATCTAGAATCAAGCAGGCCACTCTAAATCAAACGTCCGATTCAGACTTAGATTTAGAGTGATTCTAGATCTCTAGAATCTCTAGCTTGATTCTAGATCTCTAGAATTTCTAGCTTGATTCTAGATCGGATGTTTGACATCACTTCACTCTAGTTCGAACGTCCGCTCTAGAATCAGTCTAGATTGGACATAACATATGAATCTTCTTTTCAAACTCCAACTATTTTCAGCTCCACAACTATCTCGAGTTGGCCATCGACTGGTACGCAAAAATTGTCAGTCATCGACTCACCGCTTTATTGCTTTTCGCTGGGAGTTTAGGTAAGGAAAAAGAAGTTAATCTTTTTATAAACCTTGAATTTATAATCACCAGCTAATCTTAAAAGAGTACTTTGCTTTCTGAGTTGGAATTTCTTGCTCTCTTGCTTTCTGAATTGGTTTCTGAATTTCTGAATTTCTGAATTGGAATTGCTCTCTTTTCTGTTTTCTGAAATTTCTGAATCCCTTTCTGGCATCCATTTTTCTCTACCAATGATTTTTTCATGAGAAAAGAAAGAATTTAATGGATTAGAAAGAGTTTGTTTCCATTTTTGACCACAAAGTACACAAAACTATCGTTATTAACTCAAAATTCAGTCTATTGGTTCTTCGCTATCAAGGGGACAATCCAGATCGAGTCGAAGCTGGATACTGGAAAAATTTTGCCCATTGAGACGCCAATTCGACGACCAAATCGCCTCATGGAAGAGATTGGTAAGTGAATTTGATTATTAGGTTAATGAATTGAAAACTACCGGACTTTGAACTAAGATTTATTGAACATAAAACCATCAATTCATTCCAAATAATTTCCATTATTATTGACGACTTCTGCTCATTTTACAGGCAATTTGTGGAGGCAATTTCGTAGTAGGATTTTGGTTTTTGTGTGAGACAAGTGTGAGACTCAAAAATGGAGGACTGGAGATTTCCAGTTTGGACCCAGTTTGAGCACTTTCTTTAAAAGAAACCCATTTTGGTGTTAATAGAAAAGTTGTAGAGAATCAAAAATTAGGTTTATAGCCAAATTTCCAAAAAGATACACTTAGTAGTTTCGCTTAAGATGCAAGTTTTGTAAAAATTCGTAAATTTGGCATTTTTTGAAAACCAAAATGAAAAATGAAATATTGGTCAAAATACGGCTGGAAAAATGCCCGTACAGTAAGGCAGACAGAAAGACAGACAGAAAGACAGACAGATACCGTAACCCCCCCCCCCCTTCCTCCGCCTCCTTTTCCGTCATTTCATTTGTGAAAATTCGTAAATTTGGCATTTTTTGAAAACCAGTTTTTGAATCGTTCTGAAAATTTGGATATAAGCTTCATTTTTGATTCTCTACAACTTTTCCATTAACACCAAAATGGGGTTCTTTTGAAGAAAGTGCTCAAACTGTCTCATATGACAATCGCCCGCAGTTTTCAATTCACCAACCCAATAGAAAAGTTGTGTTTACAAATTTGAGCTCAAAGTTTTGCTATGAAGGATTTAAAAGTGCGATACTGACCAGTTTGGCCAGCTTTATCTCCAATGAAAACTCGTCAAGCACTTGGATTTGAGCTCGAGTCGGATAGTTGAAATGGAGCTTGTTCAGAGGGATTGATCCGGCAGTTTTCAATTCACCAACCCAATAGATTAAAAGATCTAAAAGAAATAAATGATCTTTAGTCTGGCCTGAGTACTATCCGTTGACCGTAATCGTCAACAATCCGATCGACATCCGCTCAAAGGGAAATTTGGAGAGAATATTTGCGATGCACGATCAATTCGAGAAAATGCCGCATAATAGAGGTGAATGATTGGAGAAGTCTGTACTTTGTGCTGAAATTTTGTAAACACATCAGCTCTCGTGCACTGAAAGCTGCATTTTCCTCACGACAACGAATTTCTATTTTGAGAAAAAGGCGCATCAGAAGGAGTGCGTTTACAAGTTTAACCATTATGTTAGTCGAAGTCTAAAGCTAAAGCTAAAGCCAGATACTAGAGCTGTTCATTTTCGGTCTCATTGTCAATAGGTGTACAACGGAACAACGAAATTTGGCCACTTCAATGGCTATTTTTCAGTTTTTCAGAATTTCTTGCCACATAAAGGCTATCTTTCATCTTTTTAGGCTTTTCAAGGCAAGGCTTTTCAGCTTTATCTTTTCATCTGAAAAACCTCTGAAAAAGTTACTGTTAAAGTAGTTAAATCTCGTTTTTTTTGTTGTAAAGCTATTGAAAATCGGATCGAAAATAAAGCCATTAAGCCAATAAAGCTCTACAAAGTACAGTAATCCTTATAGATAAAGTTATTTAGGCAAAGAGTTCACTTTGTCTTGGCTTCGTGAGTACCAGGTCTACTATGAGCATGACTCGGTTTTCGACTTCGACATGAGCGAGTGAGTTTTGGGTATAGCATTTTGAGACTTTAAGATAACTGGGGTACGGTAGGTGAGCTCTTAATAGATGTAGATAAAGTACATTAGATAAGTTACAGTAAGGGATACGGTAGATGTGATAGATAGTTAGGACAGGGAGATGGGGTACGATAGCTGAAATAGCGATAGCGGGAGTCTGGTAGCCGGCGTAGAGTAGACGGGGTACGGTAGCTGAAATGCGGTAGGTAAATATACCGTATTCTCTCTAATAGTAGTAATATTCTCGTAATATTTTTATTTAGTGAGGAAACCGAATCGAAGCTCAGCTACTCAAAATTGAAAGATTTCCTCAACGATACTGTGCGGCGACAGTTTCAATCATTTTTACGGGTCGACTTTTCGAAGTAAGTTTAGAATTTACTACATTCTGAACATTGAATAAATAAATAAATAAATAAATAAATAAATAATAATACTTTATTCAAACGATAAAGTGAAAGAAATCATAGAGAAATGCACAGTGATACTTAATCATACAATACATACTGAAATCAATAAGCCAATTACTTACGGCAAAGAGCCACTAGATCTAAAGCATCGATACGTTTCTTGAATATGAAAAGCGACTGAATTTCTCGTATGTCGTTTGGGAGCAAGTTCCATAATCTAGCGGCTCTAACGGGAAATGAATTTGATAAAGAGGCATTGGAAGCAAAGGGAATTTGCAAAAGGAATGAGCCACTTCTGGGCCCTGACCGCGGTTTAAATTTGAAAAAGTCTATAAACAAAGGGCTAATCTGTTTACAACGGAGGATTTTGAAAGTTTCGACTAAATCAATGACAAAGCGACGATGCTGTAAAGTTTTTAGTTCAAAAAAAGCAAGTCTCTCCTCATAAGTAAAGCTAGAATATTTAGAATAGTATAAATAAATAAATAAATAAATCAATCAATAAATAAATAAATAAATCAATCAATAAATAAATAAATAAATAAATAAATAAATAAATAAATAAATAAATAAATAAATCAATCAATCAATATATATGCTTTATTCAGTTGAATAGCGCCAAAACAAAATCACAATAATTACCCGTGACACCGCTCAAAACACACCCAAAAGATAAATAGATACCTCAAGAAAGAATCACAGAGCAGTCAAATCAATTGCCGAAATCAATTGCCGAAATTGCGGCTTTAAATCTAGCCAAGGTGGGAATATCACAAACATGATGGGGTAAAATGTTCCAGAATTTAATAACTCGGTTAAAAAAGAAACCGCGGGGGCTTTTAGAGGAAACGGAAGGTTGGCGTATTGGACCTTCTTCTGGCCCCGTAGAGGTCCCGTAGAGGCCCTGTAGAGGCCCCATAGAGAGCCGAATCCAAAGAGAACAGAAAAAAGGGGGTCGGGATGAATGCCTTTAACAATTTTAAAGCATTCCACTAAATCGATGATAAGGCGGCGTTGGTGTAACATTTCAAGACCAAAGAGTTGCAATCTATCAGAATAAGTAAAGGAGGAGAATTTGTCCAAATTCACTTTATAAAGAGCAATTCCGGTGAAAAACCATAAATAAATAAATCAATATCCAATTTTCGTTTTTTAGACCAATCCCTGTGCAAAAGTTCTCATTGGTTTTCGCTTTTGAGAATATCATTTCATGGGACGCTCGGATCACGCTCGTGCAACAATGGAGAAAAATTCTCGAGTCGTAAGTTAATCCAGTCGATTAATAGGAATTATAAGTAAAAGGGTGTAGGAAAAATAGGAAAAATTTGTAGGAAAAATGCAGGCAAATATGGGGAAAAAATTAATCTCAAAAATTTGGGCATAGTCACACCGAAAGATTACGCGACCGCACCGCAAAAAGGCCGGCGTTAAAACTCGTCTCCTGACAATTTGCTTCGCTGAAATCCAAGCTTTCCGGCTTTTTTTAAAATTGAGCTTTAAGTTGGGGTCTAAATAGCAAAAGTATCATTAGTATGCAATAGTAAACTTCCCACTACTGATTACTTGATTAGCTGGGATTTAAATGTTAGCTTTTGCTTTGTAAATAGTATAAAAAGAAGGAGACTCGGAAATTTCGCCTAAAACTATTAAATGCATATTTTTGCGACATCATTCGATCTTTTTTGAATTGCTGTGGTGACACCTCGGTGTTCAGGAATCTTAATGCCAATGTGAGGCTGATCAGGGGGACCTATCTATCGGGGACGTGTGCCAGATGTGTGAGGGAGGGAGATGCTTTCGTTGTGATTGATCCTGTGCATACTGAGCTCAAAGCGCTGAGGACGGTCTAGTCGCTCAACGCTCCTCTCCTGTGATTGATCCTGTGCATATTGAGCTCAAAGCGCTGAGGACGGTGTAGTCGCTCAACGCTCCTCTCCTGTGACTGATCCTGTGCATATTGAGCTCAAAGCGCTGAGGACGGTGTAGTCGCTCAACGCTCCTCTCCTGTGATTGATCCTGTGCATATTGAGCTCAAAGCGCTGAGGACGGTCCAGTCGCTCAACGCTCCTCCCTCTTTGCGGATACCAAAAGGAACACCTATCTATTGGGACCGTGTGCCAGACGGCGAGCGATTGTGAGCGCACAAAGAACATCTCGCCATTTATATCAGGATTTCTCTTTTGCTTTGTAGATGACACAAAAAGAAGACATTCAGCTGTAAATCTGTACCCTAAGGTTTTCGGGGTCGGGGAATCGATTGGAGATATTCATTTTATTGAGTTCGGGACTAGGGGGACAGGACCGCGGGAATTCCGGAAAGCCTTGAGCACACTCTTGACCTACGGAAAGCACACTCTTGACCTACGTATCCCACTGAATGTCAACACGAAATGCCAGCACTGAATGTCTAATTTAGGTACCCCGAGATGAACGCGACGATCTATGATGTGAATGGATTGTTTGTCGATCAAATCATCTCACTCAAGCCGTTGACAATGCAGGTGGAGAAAATTATCTTATGCTAGGTTCACTTTGTGCCCAAAAATTTGTAAACGCTTCCTTTCTAGAGCACTGAATCCCTCATTTTCTTGTTTTCTTTTCTTTCTTTGAGTTCTCATTGATGCACCAAGGCTTTATTTACGAGATGAACTCCACAGTCGAATTAAAAGCTTTCTTTTGAGGTGTACTTTGAGCTGTAAACAAACTCTGGCGTAAACGTCAAGGAAGTTAGCTAAAGTACAAGGAAATTAGCTTTAGCTAAAGCTTAACTTTAGCTAAAACTAACTAAATAGATGAATTTGCATATATTTCTAAATTTAGAGCGTTATCTGGACATTGATTTGCATGGTGGTCGTCTGTGCATTGTTCATCCAAAATCCAGTCTCTGTAGCTTTGGCCTCTTTTGCCATTGCGAGTATTTCACTGGGCACTGTTGGGTGAGTAAAATCGGATAAAAATTAAGAATTAGTTAGATACGGAAAGATCTATAACTAGTAACCTTTCAGCTATTTATCCTTTTGGCACTTGGATCTCGATCCTGTCTCGTTGGGTGCTATTTTGATGAGCATCGGGATGTCCGTAGATTTCACTGCTCACACTACTTATCACTATCAAGTACGATAGCTTTATACAGTATAGAGAGCTTCCTACAGTGTAGAGAGCTTTATATAGTATACAGAGCTTTATACAGTGTAGAGAGCTTTATACAGTATACAGAGCTTTATATAGTAAGCAAAGCTTTATACAGTGTAGAGAGCTTTATACAGTGTACAGAGCTTTATACAGTATACTATGCTAGTAAGTTACAATAATCTTTCACTAAAAATAAATCTAAACTGTTCTTTTATCGTAATCTCATTGATCTCTACCGTATATTTGACAACTTCTAGACACTGAGACACTTCTAGTCTTTCTAAAATGTCTCCTTTCCTTTCTAAAACATCTCCTTTCCTTTCTACACGTCTCCTTTCCTTTCTAAAACATCTCCTTTCCTTTCTAAAACGTCTCCTTTCCTTTCCTTTCTCGATTCCCATCCCGTCATCCAATTTTGTATACTGTAATGAGTATAGATATCATACTGTAATGTGTATAGATAAACCAAGCTTACCGTAAACCTAACTATTCAGATCAATGAGATTGCGTAAACCTAAATATCCCATCTTTCAGATTTTATCTTAAAATTTCAGCTCCAAAGCCACATGGTCGAGAAAAACGGGAAATTCGTCTTAGAGCCATTGAGAGATCCTATTGACAAGTTGAAGCACACGCTTGTTTCTGTCGCTTGGCCAATGACACAAGCCGGTTTATCGACTGTCATTTGTATTCTGCCGTTGATACTTTTACAGGTGAGCACAAAAACAAATAAGGTTATTTGACCAGATCAGTCAAAAAGATACTTTTCGGTTAAACCCCCACTTTCTCTTAGAGGAATCTTGTAAATTCAACACTTCTACCAAAAGGATCATCCGATAACTCTTTTATATCATTATCAGTTGAAGAACCCGGCTAAGACGGCTAAGAAAAAGCCCGTACAAACGGACAGATCTTTGATATATTGGGTTGGTGGAAAAGTCCTTTCCGATCTTTTGGGAGAGTACCTTAAATTTGTCGAATTTTTATAGTTTATAGATGTTTTATAGCTCATCCTAAAGCTGAATTCAAGACGGATCGATTGGTAAAAACCGTTTTGAGATATCTCTTTTCTAAAAGTTTTTACAGCTATTTTAGTAAAGGGCGGCAGAGCCAAAAAATGGCTGTTTTCACGTTTCGTTAGTTTTCCATGCAGAAACCTAGGCTAAAAACATGTGTTTCGTGATCAGCGTCAAAAATAACCCCTAGACACGCATTTTCAGAATCTTAGCAAAAAATTTTTGAAAAATGGCAGGGGAAGTGGCAGGGGAAGTGGCGTTGACGGGGGAAGTGACGGGGGAAGTGGCGTTGGTGGGGAAGTGGTGATTAAACAATCGAAAAATACCGTTGGATCTCTTAGTTTATGATATAGTGATATAGCTTATGATCTATTTGATAGTACCTGAATAACTTCACTTTTATCTTCTTATCAGATTACGCTATCGTTTTCTAGAACTATATTCCGTTGGTGTTCGTCAAGACGATCTCCCTCGTCGTCATTTGGGGCCTATGGCACGGACTGGTGCTGTTGCCGGCTTGTCTAGCTCAGGTAATTCTTCAAAATTCTATCAGTATAAACTTAGAGTCTAAAACAGCGAAATTGCATTGATAACAGTACAAATGCAGTTTACGAATCCAATTTAAAGGCAATTTTTGATTTTGATCGAGCTAATCCAGCACTGAAGAGCTTAAAATCTAACTGAAAAGCTTAAAATCTCCCAATTCTAGGTTCCCTCTTGGCTACTTGACATCAACTGTTACCGAAATCTTTTTCGAAATGGATCTCGCGATGAGATCGGCGAAAGTGAACGAGAAATGGACACAATTGTCGACAGTGTCGCCGTCACTCCTTTAGTCTAATTTTTGGCAAATTAAACGCAAATTAAAGTCTTATTTCATTCAGAATAAGACTGATATTGTTATTGTTCTTGTTCTTGATATTGTTTAGTCTGTTCTTGATATTGTTTAGTCAAAGTTCGCATTTAAAATCTTAAAATAAAGCCAAGAGATTTTCCAGTAATCAAAAAAAGTCTAGAAACGAGATTCAAAACGATTCCAAGCCTATTCTTGCACTTTTAAGCCTTCAATTGAGTTACCGTGCACTTTTAAGCTTTCAATTACCGTAATCCTTATAATAAAAGCTGAATAAAGCTTAGCTGAATATCAAAGTTGTATAGGGATTACGGTATTCGGTGTTTTACGGTTAACGGCGGGGTCAAGCGCTTATCGGAGGAGGTCAAGCGATCGGAGGAGAGGGCGAATTTTTGCCCAACTTGAAGCTCATTTTTCAGCACCTTAAACTTGTCAGATCAGGAAGTTTCAATAAGATTTAGATAGCTTAGAACGTCAACTTTTAGAAACTATTTATTTCACCAAAAGTTATTAACAAAAACCTATCTAAAATCGAGCTGCAAAATGGTTAAAAACTCGCCCCTCGCTCCCCTCTCCCCCGATAACCGTAAAGATCCCGGTATGTTCAATTTAGCTACCGTAATCGTTAAAATAAGATCAGTTATTAGTATCAGTGGTATCAGTGACCTCAAAACTATCTTTTTCACGGATTACGGTACCAAATTTCATCCAAAAATCCAATCAAAAACGACCCTAGTCGCCCCTATTTGGTGCTTCTTTTTTTCTTTGCCTTATTTGTGAATGTTTTCGATTTTCTTTTTGTGTGATTTCTTCAAAAAAGCCTCCAAATGTGCTTGCCAAATTTGAATATGTAAATATCAAACTTTTTCTTCAAAGTCTTGCTGATTTTCGGGTATATAGCGTTTATTTATTTTGCTGATTTGAGTGTTTGCTAAAAAGTGGATGAAAAGCTTTATTACAGTAAACAAGAGGGTGTATCGTAATCCTGGCACTAAAAAGTTCTTGTTTTAACACTAGTTTACCGTAAATTTTCCAATAAAAGCAGCCCCCATAGGAGCGTCACGTAGTCTAAGTTGACTCTCAAACAAACGCTCATATCTTGACATCAGTACGTTTTTTTCTAGACGTTTAGGTATCAAATTAAAGTAGAGAAAATGGGTAATTTTTTGAGCTATAACATCTATTTTTAACTTTAACCAGCGCTTAGAAAAAAATGATTGAAAAATGATGAAAAATTGGCGCTTTTTTGTCACTTTTTCCTTTTCCAGACGTTTCCGCGCCAAACGTCGGAAACTACCGTAACCCGACTCCATAAAAAGACGCCGCCACGAAGAATTTTTCATTTTTTCGATTCCGGCTTTTTTTCCCACATTGGATCGCCTAAAAGGGTTGAGCCTTGTATATAAGATATTATATTAGTATGGGATGTCAGTATAAGATACTAAACCTTAGCCATAGCCAAACCCAGCTAAAGATACCGTAAATGTTCTAATAAAAGCAGCCCCATAGGAGCGTCACCTAGTCTAAGTTGACTCTAAAACAAACGCTCATATCTTGACATCAGTACGTTTGTTTTTGCACGTTTAGGTATCAAATTAAAGTAGAGAAAATGGGTAATTTTTTGAGCTATAACATCTATTTTTAGCATTAATCAGCGCTTAGAACAAAGTGATTGAAAAATGGCGAAAAAAGTCTGAAGCGAAAGGACTGAAAAAATCTTTCGTGGCGGGGTCCTTTTATGGCATTGGGTTACGGTAGTTCCCGACGTTTGGCGCGGAAACGTCTGGAAAAAAAAAAGTGGCAAAAAAAGTCATTTTTTCATTATTTTTTCGAAGCTTTTTCAATTATTTTGTTCTAACCTTTTTCAATCATTTTTCTTTAGGGAACCTTTTCAAATAAATATCCATACTTTAGCAAATACTCTAAACTAAGCAAATCAAGCATTAAATCAAGCATCAAATCAAGCATCAAATGAAGAATCAAATCAAGAATCTTGTCTTATTTCATTGCTTTTTGAGATTCAACTTCGAATTTCCAAATTTCCCCGATACGGATTTTTGCAGCGATACGGTCCCCCTGCGATTTGATTGCTTTATTGCCATTGTTATTTTGTATTTGCTTTCATTTCTAGATCACAATTTGCATGTATAGGTTATGTCGATTTTTTTTTTTGGTAAATAGTGATTTGAATAAAAAAAATGAGAAAATTCGCTTGGATTGGACGGAGTGGCAGTTTAGAAGAGAGGCAGAATCATCGCTTTCGATAGTTTTTCCGATAGAAGTGCCAACAAAAGGCAGAAACATCTTACCGCAAAAATCCGCTCACAAAGAGAAAGCCTCTCGTTTGTGCCGTGGCCATGTTCGGGGGCCTTTTCCAGCCATCTAGTTACAAATCCCGTATCTTTTATTGGCCCGATGTTTGTCTAATAGTCTTTTTTATTGCAGCTAAAACTTATTTAAGCTTGACGAAGAGGACGAGGAACGGAAGAAGCGAAAGAGGAGGAGACACGCTATTCATGATGTGGTTGGTATGAATATGTTCAGTATTTACGACGACTTCTTTAGATTAGCTTTAGATCGTAGATTAGCTCTTACGCGCCAAATCCAACCCTAATGTGCTAAGTGCTATATAAAATATTGAAGCCCTTAATCTTGGCTACATTTAACTCTTAAAAGTTTCTCGATTGGAGATATACAACTTATTTTACAAGCCGTTGAATGAGCGCTAGTCGACATCGCATTGAGAGATTGTTGATCCGTCTCCAGTTGCCATTTTTGGCGCTTTTCTTCATAAGGTGTATTTGTGACGCTTACAGCCATTTACAAGGGGAAAATGAGTATATTACGTACACTACCATTTCGACAGCTTTCTATTTTCTTTATTTTTATTCTCTTACGGTTTTCTAGCTCTTTATCATTTTTAAAATGTAAATGAATTTTGTCTAGCAACTATTTCTAACAAATTTATAGCAGTATCAGTTAATAGAACAAGGCAATTAACCAAAAAAAATACTCAAAACTTGAACTTGACTTGACAAACTTGACAACTCAAACTTGAGTAAGCTTGAATTAAGTAAGATTTACTCAATTTGACGGGTAAAATAGAAAAGGGAAAGAAAAGGAAAAGAAAAGGGGAAAGTCTACGAGATAAACGCTAGAGTTTGTGTACAAGCTTTTTTCATTTATTAGTTCTTTTCAAGAATTCCACTAAAAGTTCAAACTACTCCTTTCTGCTCTCAACAAGCTTTTGCGTGGCACAAAGCTTTTGGTAGATCGGATTTCGTTGTAAAAGCTCTTCATGGGTGCCTAAAGAGAAATAATTTTATAGTAAACAGAGAAGTTTCTTCATTAACTGATAAAATTTAGATCTTCACCCAAATTTGGCATTCAAAATCGCTTACCCACGTCGGCCACTCGGCCTTGATCAATGACGGCGATCGCGTCGGCGTCCTGAAATTTTTTCCAGACTTATCCAAAAAAATCTTGAAGAACTGTAGAATTATTTAAATTAAAAAAACTTTAGTTATTAAATAAATAATAGATATAACTGAAAAAGCTAAATGAGATCGAAAAGGGGATAAAAATTCGTAAAAGTATTAATGTCTAAGCTCCTTAAAGATTTGTGCTACTGTTTAGATTTAGCTAGGGCACGAAAAATAATTCTGAAGGGTGGGTGATTGAAAATGGACAGGAATGGGGTTCTATTAGGATTCCGGTAATAGATCGAATGGACAGGAATGGAGATCTATTTGGATTACGGTAATAGATCCAATGGACAGGAATGGAGGTCTATTAGGATCCCGGTAATAGAACCAATGGACAGGAATGGAGATCTATTAGGATTCCGGTAATAGATCCAATGGACAGGAATGGAGATCTATTAGGATTCCGGTAATGGACCCGATGGACAGGAATGGAGATCTATTAGGATTACGGTAATAGATCGAATGGACAGAAATGGAGATCTATTAGGATTACGGTAATAGATCAAATGGTCAAGAATGGGGTCCTATTAGGATTCCGGTAATAGATCGAATGGACAGGAATGGAGATCTATTAGGATTAGGAATAGATTCTATTAGAATAGATTCAAACCTGAACAGTTGACAGACGATGAGCGATCACTAAACAAGTGCGACCTTGACGCGCCTTCTCGAGCGCTTCTTGAACAACCTGGAGACTTAAAAAATTATAGTAATCAGAAAAATATCAGTTCTTAATATATCAATACCAAATATATCAGTAGCATAGATCAGTATTACCTTTTCACTTTCAGTATCGAGTGCTGAAGTGGCTTCATCCAATAGGAGAATCGCCGGCTCTCGCACCAGTGCTCGAGCGATGGCGATTCGCTGCTTTTGCCCTCAAAACGAGTTAAATTCTGATCCAAAAAATAGCCGTAATTTAAACTACGATTATTTTATTATAAATAAGATTTATCTAAGTTAAATTTTCATTTTACATAACTACGATAGCTTTTTTGAAGTCTTTAGAAGAATGCTTATCTTTAGAAGAATGCTTATCTTTAGAAAAAAAGCGCTTTAATCACAAGGAATTGTTTTAATCGCTTTAACTCACTATATAGAATAGTTTATGCTAATTTCAGGCTATTTACTCTTAATGGTATTTGTTGAGAGGTGGTATTTGTTGAATATTGACATTCAGATATGTACCACCACTAATATGGTAATATTGACATTCTTATACGTACCACCACTCAATTGTGTGCCCCTTTCGCCGACTCTTGTCTCAAAAGCAGCCGGGAGTGCTGTGATGAAATCATAAGCATTGGCCAATTTTGTCGCTCTCACGATCTCTTCTTCTGTTGGAACACTAAGAAAGTATGAAATTTTGCAATCTTTTGTTCAATCTTTTGTTATTTTAAGGCTTTTCTCACTTGTCCATTCCGTAAATGATATTTTCTCGAATCGTGAAGTCGAATAAAGTCGGCTCTTGACTTACGATTCCCACTTGACTTCGCAAAGATGATAGTGAAAATTTATTGACTGGGATATTGTCAAGTGTCTAAAAATGTATATTAAAAGTGTTTTTATAGCTATTTTTATAAATTTATAGATATTTTTATAAATCGATGTCGATTTTTTCAATCTTACAATCTCTCCTTTTTCCGGATCGTAAAAACGCTCGAGCAGTCCGAGCACTGTACTTTTCCCACAGCCAGAGTGACCGACGAAAGCCACTAGATGAATAATTTGTGCAAAAAATGAAAAAACACCCCTTCTGGTGCAGTGTTAGACTAAGAAATGTGAAATTTTGAAATGTGAAGATTTGAAACGTAAACGTGAGATGTTTGACGCATTGGCAGTTATCAGGTAGCGAGAAAATGAAGAGTCTAGTGCTATTGGGTTGGTGAATTGATTTCTTTAGGATTTGATACTTCTTTAGGGATTCATTCACCTTTTCCAACTGTTCACTGTATTTGATTGCATTAAGGGTCGTCTTGCTATCCAGCAACTCCCAGTACACCACTCCCTCCATATCCCAGAAAACGCAGAACATAAACTTCTTCTGGTGCAAATCGGGCTTAAGGTCACTTTCGGGTTTCTCGCCTAGCCCCACCCATTGCCGCTTCCTCCGAAAGTTCACCGATAAAACCCATTTCTCAATTCATTCCAAATAATTTCCATTATTATTGACGACTTCTGCTCATTTTACAGGCAATTTGTGGAGGCAATTTCGTAGTAGGATTTTGGTTTTTGTGTGAGACAAGTGTGAGACTCAAAAATGGAGGACTGGAGATTTCCAGTTTGGACCCAGTTTGAGCACTTTCTTCAAAAGAAACCCATTTTGGTGTCAATGGAAAAGTTGTAGAGAATCAAAAACTAGGCTTATATCCAAATTTCCAAAAAGATACACTTAGTAGTTTCGCTTAAGATGCAAGTTTTGTAAAAATTCGTAAATTTGGCATTTCTTGAAAACCAAAATGAAAAATGAAATATTGGTCAAAATACGGCTGGAAAAATGCCCGTACAGTAAGGCAGACAGAAAGACAGACAGAAAGACAGACAGATACCGTAACCCCCCCCCCCCCTCCTTTTCTGTCATTTCATTTGTGAAAATTCGTAAATTTGACATTTCTTGAAAACCAGTTTTTGAATCGTTCTGAAAATTTGGATATAAGCTTCATTTTTGATTCTCTACAACTTTTCCATTAACACCAAAATGGTTTTCTTTTGAAGAAAGTGCTCAAACTGTCACATATGACAATAGCCAGCAGTTTTCAATTCACCAACCCAATAGAAAAGTTGTGTTTACAAATATGAGCTCAAATTTTTGCTATGAAGGATTCAAAAGTGCGATACTGACCAGTTTGACCAGCTTTTATCTCCAATGAAAACCCGTCAAGCACTTGGATTTGAGCTCGAGTCGGGTAGTTGAAATGGAGCTTGTTCAAAGAGATCGATCCAGTCAATTTCTAAGTTATTTCTTTAAAAGAATGAACCTTTAAAGTTGGTGTAGTGAACCAAAGTGGTTCAAAGTGGTTCAAAGTGGCGTCAAAGTTCACCTTTTGAAGCCCTTTCTCCGAAAGATTATTGATTTTTGTCGGATGGTTGACGAGATTAAAAATGAGTGCTGCGGCGAGTCGTGTCTTCACAATATCCGGCATAAAAGTCGCAATAGCGCCCACCATTTGACCGCAAAATGCCAATGAGAAGAAAACACTGTAATATTTATCTTATAGAGCTTAAACTATAGTTTTCTCGAAATGAAAAGTGTTTATTGTTCAATTTCCCATCGTTTTCAGTGAAATTTGGGTTCACTTTCGAGCAAATTCGCGAGTGAAAATCGTGTTTTTCGTAAAAATCTTTAAAAATCTCTACAAAGAAATGGGGTGAATGAATTTCTCTGAAAATTTGACTAGATATCAAACTTTTTGTGCTCTATCTTTTATCTATTGACATGAAGATAGGTTTCCTTTGCGCAAAGTCGTAAAACCCCATCATCATTGCCCTTTTGAATGAAATGAACCGTAGTTCAATTGGTGCATTTGTTGGTTTCAAAACGAAAGTACGAAAAGAAACGAAAAGACTTATTCACCAACCATATAACTTTGACTGAAGATGGATTTAAAGCAATTCTTGCCTGATCTAAGGCTGACTTTGGGCTTATCTGAGCTTGTTTAACTCTGGACTTGCCTGATTTGATCATGTAAGTGCCGAAGTTGGTTGGTGGATGGTGGATTTACATTGGTGGATTGGTGGATTGGTGGATTTGCACAGACGCCGACTCCTGGCTGTTTAACTACTCGACAACTAACTACTAGACAATGCTATCCGGATTGAAATTGGATTTTACCACCGGATAGCATTGTCGAGTAGTTCGTTGCCGAGTAGTTAAACAGCCAGGAGTCGGCGTCTGTGTAAATCCACCAATCCACCAATTGAATAAACCGAATTTGATTGGAATACGCAATAAATTCAGCCTTGGATAGGATCTGAATGGGGAAGAATTGTGTAGCTAACATCTCTGGGAACTAATATTTGTTTCGAGTAGGCAAGACAATTCTTCCGGGCCTGTTAGTCCCAAACCAAGGTCCTGTTCTTGTAGTGTGCTCTTGCAGCAGGCCTGGCTGACAAGTCTCTGACTTGGAAGCCAGGACTGGACCTCTAAACCTAGCATTTCCTTGCCTAGTCTACTCTGCATCATCTAGTTAGTGCCTAGTCTACTCTGACATCCTGACAGTTAGCCGGACAACAACTTTGCGGTATATGGTAATCAAACTAGCTTCTCTCTGTTGCAATGACCAACCGATAAACTTGAACTGGCTGCATCGATCCGTCCATCACAAAAAGCGCGCCCAAGAAAAACGCAAAAGCGTACATGAAGAAAATGATCGCCTGCGCGATTCCGAAAACAATTCCATACAGCTGAGCTCCTTTGACATTTGCTCTAAAGTCTTGCATAAGTCTTGCATAATATTGCTTAGCTATTTGACCAACTTGTGCGGTTGATTCAAATGTTGACAGTAAAGTGCATTGAAATGTTCCTGTTTGTTGAGCGCTTGCACGGTGCGCACATTGTCGATCGCCTAAAGTGAGTAGACTCCAGAAAGGGTGTGTTTACAAGTTTAAGCACAAAGTATTCACCTGTAATGCCACTTTTCCGGCCTCTTCCAATTGACGAGCGTCTCGGAGTTTGTTGCCGAGCTGAAACGATAACATAACATAAATATTCATTAAAGCTTGCATTAAACATACAAATTTAATGCAAATGCATCAAAAAAGGAAGAAAATTGGTTAGGGGAGGATTCGAACTCAAGCCAAAGAACTTCATCATCTCCGTAGACTAGCACACTATCCACTAGACCACAGAGGCCGCTCAGAAGTTTCCTTGTGTCGGAAATTTGAGCCGTTCGAAATAAAGAGTCCAAAATTTGAGCGAATCTTCTATCCTAGATTCCTTGCGACTGCGTGGATGTTTGCAGCTAATTTTTGCAGCCCCGAAATCAGCATCTCCGATTCTATAAGATGCACCCAGTCTCGAATCGATTCTTAACTTTGAGCCATTCCCTTATCTTGAAGCATAAATATCGTCTGGTAGAATTCGAATAGCTGGAATTACTTCTTCAACATTGTCACCTTTGTGGTCGAGCACTTGCTGTTGCTCATATTGCTGTCGTTGGTATTCCGCCTAAACACTAGGCCCGACAAATGAAAAACCACGGCGTCAGAAATTATTTGAGCAAATGATGGTGGCACTGGAGGAAAACGATGAACGTGGCGACTTAAACAGACACAAATTTTGAAATGGATCACTAACGATATTCAGCGTATCAAGACGGAAATTTCGGCTCAAAAACAGCATCGAAATGGCACCGGTAGAGGATCGCAAGTTATCTTGAAGCCCAAGTATCGTCCGGTAGAATTCGAACAGCTGGGATTACTTCTTCAACATTGTCACCTTGTGGTCGGACACTTGCTGTTGCTGTTGCTCATATTGCTGTTGCTCATATTGCTGTTGTTGATATTCCATCGCCTCAGAAATTATTGGAGCAAATGATGGCGGCACTAGAGGAAAACGATGAACGTGGCGACTTAAACAAGACACAAATTTTGAAATGGATCACTAACGATATTCAGCCTATCAAGACGGAAATTTCGTCTCAAAAACAGCATCGAAATGGCACCGGTAGAAGATCGCAACGAAAGGCCAGGAATTTTCCATTCTATTTACAAGATCCGGATGTAATAATAATTGGAAATTGGAAATTTTTATTGGAAATCATTGTAACTAAGTAGTATTCTAATATGGGAAAAGAGATTTAAGATCCGCTCAGCCCTGGTGCAGGCTTAGGCTTAGGCTTCTGAATTCAAGGACTGTTAAGAGCCAGGCCAGATCAACCCGGACTTACAATTAGTCTTTTACATTAGGAGAAACAAATCCCAATCTAAAGACTCTTTAGGAATAACGGTTTAGTATTGTAATGGTTTAGTATTGTAATGGTTTAGTATTGTAATGATTTCAATTCAACAATTCAAGCTCCACCTGCATTCTCATCTCAATCCCTTGAGCGACGACGATGATTGGAAGCATCGGGATCACACAAAGAGCCAGCTTCCATCCAAAGATGAACGCGAGAGTGAGTGAAGCGATCACTGTCACTGTTGATGAGGTGACAAGGGGCATTCGGGTGAAAACCTGAAATTTGAGTGAATTTCAGTGTATTTCAGTGTTTACACAAGGTACATTCCTTTTTGCACTCACATAGCGAACATTTGGCGCATCAGTGGCTAACCGGGTGCACAACTTTCCCGTTCCATTCTTCTCATCATCAAAAAAGCCTAGAGTTTGAGGCAATATAGGGTACGTAAAAAAGTTCCCGGAATCCAATCACGCATTCTTTTTTAGACGATCTTCTAGTTTGTTTTTAGAGGATCTTCTAGTTTGCTTTCAGACGATCTTCTTTCAGATTACTTTCTTTTCAGTAATTATTTTGTTTTTATGTTTTATTTGATTACTTCCTTTCTTAAGATAAGATTAGGAACACATGGTCGGCGCCAGGACTCGAACCCGCGACCTCTCGCTTACCGGGCGAATGCTCTACCAATGAGCTCTACCAATGAGCTCTACCAATGAGCTCTACCAATGAGCTCTACCAATGAGCTCTACCAATGAGCTCTACCAATGAGCTCTACCAATGAGCTCTACCAATGAGCTCTACCAATGAGCTCTACCAATGAGCTCTACCAATGAGCTCTACCAATGAGCTCTACCAATGAGCTCTACCAATGAGCTCTACCAATTTATCAATAGCATAGAGCCAGTGTAGAGCTTTATGCCTTACTTTGTTACTGAAACGAAAGCTCACCAATATCCTTTGCCATGAGCGATTGAAAAGTGATCGATCGAAGCCCTTTTGTGCAATCCTCGCCAGCCAAGCCACACATCGAGTTCTAGAAAACTGATGGTTATTTAAAACAGGTGCTTTTTAGAAAGCGAATCAACTGAGAGGTCAACTGAGAGCCTCTCGAAGCTAGGCTGGTCAACTGAGTCTAAAATATTATCGTACTTTTTCACTCACCGAGAAAAAGGCTCCAACCGCGTGCATCAGCCCTAATCCTATAAACATTAGCGCCCAAAAATGAACTGAATCCACGATTTTATCGGTTGACTCAGAGAAAACCTGAAATTTGAATGGAATTGTTGTGTTAAAGAGATTCGTTGGATACGGAGAAAATTTGAGCGTAGAGAATGGCGAAAATCGGTGTGCAAAAGCCGACTAAAGCACCAGCCGTGTAACCGATGATGATCTTCGGAATCGCTTTCCTGAAAATTAAAACTCCAAATTACAATTTACAACTATCCCTTGTGTACTTTGAGTTTAAAAATTGCAAACGTACACTCTCTGATACACTGAATTCTTCATTTTTCTCGCAAGAAAGAAAGAACGAAGAAAAAAAACGAAGAATTCGATGCGCCGGAGCGTTTACAGATTTCCGCATCTTTTCAACTCACTTGTTGAAAGTGAAAATCTTTAACATCGAGATCGGCTTTAGGTTGGCATCACTAAAGTTCAGAAGTACTTGGCTTAAAATGTATTTTCAGACTTTGTCTCATCTTCGGCTCTTGCCAGATCTTCAATCGTTGTCTCCTCGATTGTCGCATCGGCGCCGAATTGTGAACGGGACATTGATCGGATACTTGTTCTAGATAAGTGATCTTAAAGGATTTGTTGAAGAGTCAAAGACCAAGACCAAGGCTAGAACTAGAGCCAGAATAGTTAGAACTCTAACGAAGGCGGGTAGAGCCAAGCCAGGCCAGCTCAGCTCAGACCAGATCAGTCCAGACCAGAGCTAGATCCAAGTTGGGTCAGGCCAAAGCCAAGTCAGACTAGAGACCAATTCAAGTTACGTAGGCCAGGCCTAGACCAAAGACAAACCAGTTCAGGTCAGGCTAGGCCAGCGCGATCAGATCAGGGCTAGATCCAAGTCAGCGCTGAGCCAGAGCCAAGCCAGCGCTAGGCCAAAGCCAAGCCAGCGCCAGGCCAAAGTCAAGCCAGCGCTAGGCCAGAGCCAAGCCAGCGTCAGCTCAAAGCCAAGCCAGCGCCAGACCAGGCTCTAGACTAGGACAGACTTGAACCGAGACCAAGATCAGCTCAGAGCAAGGCTAGGGAAAGTTCTATTTCTTCAGCTATACCTCATCGAATCCGATCTCGACAAACTCCTCGTTCTCGATCGTTTCCTTAACACCATTCCCTTGCCATTCCCTTTCTCATCATCTAAAAATTAGCCTACCATTTGCTAAACTAAACTAACCACCTGTTTTATTGACCTTTTCTTCAAGTTGTCGTAAAAGTTGTGCTTGTACCATTTGATGAAAGACTCCTTTCTTTGCAATCAATTCCTCATTGGTGCCCTTTTCGATGATGTTACCTTGCTTAATTTTCTGTTTTCTTTACCATTGTTAAACTAACAGATTGATTTTTCAAATGAATAAAGAATTGAGGAAATTGATGTTTGTAGAGCTCACCTTGAACACAAATATCTGATCGGCTTCTCGAATCGTAGCCAAACGATGCGCAACGATGATCACTGTGCGACCGTGTTGAGCCTACAAGTGTTTCAACAATCATCGTGATATTTATAGATATAAATTTGGCACTTGTTGAACTTGATCTGGCACTTGTAGGCACTAAATAATATCTAGATCTCCACCTGTTCAAGTGCTTTTTGCACAACCGCCTCACTTTCGGTGTCCAACGCCGAGGTGGCCTCGTCCAAGAGGAGAATTTGCGGGTTTTTCACGAGAGCTCGAGCGATGGCGACTCTTTGCTTTTGGCCTAGACAAATAAATCAATGCTTTTCTAAAACGTGTCTTCTTTTGCTTTCTACAGTAATCTTGTCTCAGATCTACGATAAACAAAAATTTCGATATAATCTCCTTTAAAATTCCGTGATATTCTTGAAATGCTTTTCACATAATGTCAATGTTGTTTGTTATCGAACATCGAAGAGCTCCTCCCTTTTGACGACATCGAAGAGCTCCTCCCTTTTGACGACATCGACGAGCTCCTCCCTTTTGACGACTTTTTGCGGCTGTTTTTCTTGCCTGACTAAAGACCACGGTTTTTTTCGCAGGACTAAAAAGCACGGGGTTTTGTTATTCAAATCGTAGCGCACTAAAATTGCTAAAGAGCCAAAGAGCCAAAGAGGGTACCACTTCAAAGGTAGTTTTAGTTTTCAGTGATCTCAGAATGACGAAATTCGTTAAGTAATCCTGATATACCATCAGAAACTTGTAATCACCATCGGGAACGGATTGTAAATCAATGAGATCGATTTAGCATCGTTCGTTTTGCTCAGGCTTAGGCTTATGACAATCGGCTTGATGATAATCGGCTTGATGACAATCAGCTTGATGACAATCGGCTTGATGACAATCGGCTTGTGTGACAATCGGCTTGATGACAATCGGCTTATGTGACAATCGGCTTGTTGACAATCGGCTTGATGACAATCGGCTTGTGTGACAATCGGCTTGATGACAACCGGCTTGTGTGACAATCGGCTTGATGACAATCGGCTTGATGACAATCGGCTTGTATGACAATCGGCTTGATGACAATCGGCTTGATGGTTCTTTGAGGTCCCCCGTCTTCAGCATAATCCCCGTCTTCAGCAAAACCCCGTGCTTTTTAGTTATGCAAAAAAACAGCCGTAAAAAGTCGTCAAAAGGGAGGAGCTCTTCGATGTAATGATGAACATTACCAAACAACATTGACAAGTTTCAAAGGGAATCGGCTAGCCGGTATACTTTCATAGCAAATCGGCTGAAACAGCAAATCAGCTACGACAGATAGATTGGAATATATAAAAATAGAGACAGGATTACGGTAGAAAGAGATAGGATAGTTTTAGACGCGCATCACCTCCACTTAGCTGTACGCCTCTCTCGCCGACGCGCGTATTCAACCGATCGGGCAGCATCTCAATAAAACCCCAAGCATTTGCCTAAATAATGATGATGAAGAATGAACGAAACAATGATTTCATCAGAATTTCAGAATGATTTCGTCAATGCATTTACAAATTTGAGCACAAAATCCACGACCAATACTGAATGTTTACCATTTTACAGGCTTCCACAACTTCTTCATCTTTCACTCCGTCTCTTCCCATTCGAATGTTCTCAATGAGACTCCCATCAAAGAGAACCGGTTCCTAAAAGTGTTATAATAATACTTTTTGGCTTTGTGCTACTTGTGAAACGATTCCGATCTGATCTCTCAAACATTTCACGTTAATCGTTCTCAAATCGACTCCGTCAATCGATACCTATAAAGAATTGTAAAATCCAGCTTTGAAAACGTTAGGCAAACGTTTGGCTAAAGAAATTCGATGTTTCCATTTGTTATAAAAGATTGCTAAAATCTCTACCGTTCCCTCCATCGGATCATAAAATCTGAGCAAGAGATTGACGATTGTACTTTTTCCACACCCGGACGCTCCAACGAGCGCGATCTTTTGGCCGGCTTTCACCTCTAACGAGACTCCGTTTAAAATCTAAAGTTTTATATAAATGAAGTTAACTAGAATTGTGTTTGATTTGATTAGATTGGTCGTTATCGGACGTCAGATTTGAATAGTTTCAAAGTCGGACGTCCGAGTGGAATGGTTTTAAAACTGGGCGTCCGATTTGAATGGTTTCAGAATTGGTCCGGGTTGAATGGGTTCAAAGTCGGACGTCCGAGTGGAATGGTTTTAAAACTGGGCGTCCGATTTGAATGGTTTCAGAATTGGTCCGGGTTGAATGGGTTCAAAGTCGGACGTCCGAGTGGAATGGTTTTAAAAGCGGACGTCCGATTTGAATGGTTTCAGAATTGGTCCGGGTTGAATGGGTTCAAAGTCGGACGTCCGAGTGGAATGGTTTTAAAACTGGGCGTCCGATTTGAATGGTTTCAGAATTGGTCCGGGTTGAATGGGTTCAAAGTCGGACGTCCGAGTGGAATGGTTTTAAAACTGGGCGTCCGATTTGAATGGTTTCAGAATTGGTCCGGGTTGAATGGGTTCAAAGTCGGACGTCCGAGTGGAATGGTTTTAAAACCGGACGTCCGATTTGAATGGTTTCAAAATCTAGAATACAACATATTGGGTTGGGGAGAATGAGTCGGCGCCCAACTTTAAAGGGACTTTTTGCACACATAAAGCCTTCTTTAAACATACGTTTGGTTTCATCAAAAGGATCCACTATTTCTCTACAAAATCACTTTTGAGAGATTCCACAAAGCTTTTCTTTCGTGGAGTTTATGAACTTCCAAACGCAGCTGGTTAAAATGGCAAAGAGTCCGACTCATCATTTGAACAGTTTCTTTCACATAAACCTTCTTTGGTGTTTATATAAAAAAGATAGAGCACATTCAATTACTTAAGTTGCCAAATTTGCAGGAAGATCCCACCAATGGTTTTTTCTAGATCACAGTTTGTAGTTTTTGTGAAAAAATGGCTTTTTCTTGAGCGGAGGCGCTGTTTGAATTTTCTTTTAAATGTCATTTTGTAGAGAATTAGTTAACCATTCTACTGATATCAAACGCATATTATTTGACGAAGTCGAATAGAAGTTTTAGACATTTTTTTCATTTTCGGCGCCGACTCATTCTCCCCAACCCAATACATACTAGAAAAAGATTTGATCGCCAAAAACGCAGAGCTGATTCATTCTTCCAGCCAGAAGCCAGGTTCAGCCTAGCTTCGAGAGGCTTCTAGTGGCCATGCCAGCTTGAAATCAGCGTAGAATTTTTAAAAAAAAATAGATAAGTTGAAGTGGTACAGTTTTAGAAGCTCCTAGAATTTCCACCAAGAGTTTTTCGTTAGTTATTTTGCGCTTTGAATTCTGAATTTTGCGCTTTGAAAAACCCTGCTCTCCACCTGAATCTCTGGCCTAGACGGATATCTAAACTTGACGTCCTCAAAGCGAATATTTCCTCTTAAATCGTTCTTTTTCACTCCTTCATTGGAATAAGGATCAATCGGTGGAATCTGAAAATAATTATATTGATAAAAGATTTAATTTAAACCCGTGCAATCACTTCCACAACTTTTCGCAGCGCGCCAAGTCCCGATGAAACGACGGTGATAAAGGGAAGCGCCGTGCTGAGAGCTGTTGAACCGGACATTACGGCGAAGAAAACCTAAGAATTAAAAGATATTCAATTCAAAAGATATTCAATCTTACCGTAATCCTATCCTGTTTCTATCATGTTATCTATTAAACTTAAAAACTCACCGTAAAAACGACACCCCGATCCGCTACCGTATCCTCAGCGATTATCTTTCCAGCGTACCTGAAAAAGTTTTATAAAAAGGTTCCTTATTTCTCCAAAATCGGCTCCTTATTCTTCTAAATTTGGTTCCTTATCTCTCCAATTTGGTTAGTTAACTATTAGTTAACTATTATATTCTAATTCTAGCTCTAGTTCTAGCTCTAGTTCTAGTTCTAGCTCTAGTTCTAGTTCTAGTTCTAGTTCCAGTTCTAATTCTAGTTCTAGTTCCAGTTCTAGTTCTAGTTCTAGTTCTAGTTCCAGTTCTAATTCTAGTTCTAGTTCCAGTTCTAGTTCTAGTTCTAGTTTCTTTCTAAAGCTTATCCTTATCGATTACAGTAAAGCTAAGCAAAAATTTAAAGCTTGTATTTTGCTACTATTCGCTTGTATTTTGCGTTGTGAACACAGTGCTCAATTCCCGTTTTTCCTGTGAAATGAAGAATCGAGTACACCAGAAAGGTGCATTTACAAGTTTGAGCACAAAAAAAGACCCAAATTGCTCACCAAAAAGCAACCGCATACGATGAATATCGACAGAAATGCATAAAAGCGATCATGGCACCGATTGCGAAACTCCTTGGAATGCTCGCCTTTCGTGCCTCGTCCAAACACGCATTGAATCTAAAAGAAATATAAAATATGTATTGTTTTTAGAATCTTATCAACTTACTTATCAAGTTCTTTCTTTTGCGCATTCAATGCTTGAATCGTTCTCATTGAGGAAAGGGCTTGCTCGGCGATCGCACCAGCAATCCCATACCGTTCCTGCTCGATTTGTGCTCTGAATTCTCATCAAATTATAATACTACTAATCGATAATCTATAAGTCTAGTATTACTTTTATAATCCCTTTCTTTTACACTCTTTAGAATATTGTAAAGGAAAAAACATCATCACAGATAGATTACTTCAAGCCAGGGTACTGTAATCCTGGAATCCTGTATTCCTGTAATCCTGTTATCCTGTTATCCTGTAATCCTGTAAGTAATCCTTTAGTACCATTGTAGTAGTAGACTACTGGGGGGTAAAGAGGGGAAAAAGACGAAAACGAGTAAAGGGAAGCCAGTTTGGAACACAGCCAGTTCGTCTATCGCCTGAAATGTGTCCCCTTTCTCTTTCTATCGTAAGCTTGTTGCTATTTTTATCTAATTTATCAACTTTTGTCTGATTCTGCGAGTCCGAATATCCAATTGAATCCGAACAAAGGATATCCAATTGAACAGCCCAACAGCGAAAGACAAAAAGTGGATAGATTGGATAGAAATAGGGACGATTTGATCTGAGATTTCATTCAAGAGGAGTCACGGCAAATCGCTTTTGACACGGCATTTGTTTCTGTTGAGAACTTTTGTTTTTGTTGAGCTCCAACTAAAACTTGTCAGAAACTTTCAAGTGAGTTTGAAAAGATTCTCGTCAACTACATTCTAAAATTGAACAAGAAGATTGATGAGAACACCTAAAAGTCCATCTTCACGTGCGATAAAGCGGCCATATGGTTGAATGCTTCGACAAGCAAATACATTGAATCGACAGGAGTAAAAGAAATAAGAAGAAAAGAAAAAGGTGCACTGAAATGTGGATACGACCAAATGAACATCTCGGCAATGCTGACAGGACGATCTGATAGAAAGGAACTAAGAGCATTTGTGGTGATAAAAACGATGGATACGTTTGGAGAAAAACGTTGGATAAAAAGATCAAATCAAAATTTTAATTGAAACTATTGCTTTGTTGGAAAGAAAAGAAAAACAAATGCTTCACATTACAAAGGAATTCTTGAAGCGAACTTTCAAAGGACTTGAATTCTTAACAAAAATGAGCGGTCGCTTCTGATCTGCGGCTGAGAGCTATTGAATAATCAACATGCGGCTCACAAAAGTGAAAGCACAAAGGAGCATCTCGAGAAGATCAATTTAGATTGTTTCTACTTGCCCGGAGGAACAGTAGAAAGAGAAATGGGCTACGTTTTAGAAAGTAGATTTTTTTTAACCCACCGATTCGCCTGAAATCTCGCACACCATGCTCCAACGAGAACAATCGGCGGAACAAAGGCCATCATGATCAGCGTCATTTTCCAATTGTAGCAAAATCCAATGATAAATGAGGCCACAAAAGCCAGAATGTTCTAGAGAAAATGAGAAATTTAAATGAAAATTAGAAAGCTTTCAAAAACTTGTATTAACATTGAGAATTTGTCGCCGAAAGCCTCTCTCACTCGCTCCAAATCGCTAAAAATTACTGTAGCTGCAAGATTTTTGAATAAATTCTGATATTTTTAGATAGATTAGCTATCTAATAGATTTAAATGTCGTAGCCGTTTACGAAATTCAGCCGCTAACGAATGAGGGTATTTCCGGGCATCCAATCAAAAAGTCACCCACATAAAAAATGTTCATAATACATATATTTTATAATAAATTTTTGAAATTAGCTCATTTGGTTCAGTAGAAAATTTTTTTTGAGCCCCCAAAGTTTAGGTTCAAAAATGGCTATAAAAAATTTTCTATTCAGCCAAAAAACTTGCCTAATAGCTCATTTTGTAGCCAATTTGATGTAGATTCTTAAAGTAAAGCCAGCTAAAACAATTTTTCGTTGAAAGTAGGAGAAAGAGGGCGAGGAACAAAATCAGGGCAATTCTCAAATGTGAAAACAGCGACCGAGTTCAACTGAAGTCGTTCCTCGCCCTCTTTCTCCTAGCTTTGAAAAGAAAATGTTCAATGTAGCTTTACTTTAAGAATCTACATCAAATTGGCTACAAAATGAGCTATTAGGCAAGTTTTTTGGCTGAATAGAAAATTTTTTATAGCCATTTTAGGGCATTTTTGAACCTAAACTTTGAGGGCTCAAAAAAAATTTTCTACTGAACCAAATGAGCTAATTTCAAAAATTTATTATAAAATATATGTATTATGAACATTTTTTATGTGGATGACTTTTTGATTAGATGCCCGGAAATACCCTCATTCGTTAGCGGCTGAATTTCGTAAACGGCTACGACATATATATATTGCTATATAATTTCTTTTAGAATCCGAAAAAACCCTCGCTCGAAACAAAGTGCTGACGGTGAATATCGGGAAAATGGAATGCGATCGTTTACTAGCTCATACAATCGCTTTCGCGCTAACAATCGGTAAGACCAAATAATTTCCTATCGATTAAATAGTGAAGTATAGAAAATGGGATACATTCTGTATGCTACCGTAATCCTTAGTCTCTCTAAAGCATGTCCCAGCTACCGTAGCCCGGTCTACTCAATTCAAAGTTCACAAGTTAATAACGTATATTTTAGATCCCGATAATCGAATTTAACGAGTGATTCGTTAGCGGCTGAATTTCGGCTACGACATATATATTCAATTATTAAGAATGAAAGTTACTCAGTTAAACGACTCGTCAAATTGCCCGTTTGTTTCTCGTCGAACCACGCGATTTCTTGGCGGAGAACGGCTCGGAGATAGCTGGAAATTGGGAAATTTATTTGGATACTATAATAGTTGAATATTGTGGCTTATTGTGGCTTATTGTAGCTTATTGTAGCTTATTGTAGCTTATTGTAGCTTAAAAAGTCTATAGTAGCCCTCCGTAAACCTACCGTAATCTCATCCGGTGCACAACGTTCTCACAAATCGTTTCAAAGCAGGCAATCTAATCAAATACATTTTCATTTTTCAAGAACTAGCTCACTTGTAAGTACGAGGTGATAAATTGAACCAAACCCAGCACCGCATAGTACAAACTGATCATCAAGATCTCGTGCTTGAAATCTTCCCTGTAGATGTACTGGTAGTAAACATTTGTAATGATTTAACATTTTCTACTTTGTTATTGATTTTGTATCGTTTGTGATCACGTGTTCACCCTCGATCCATGGTGAGTTTTGCGCTCGGAGGAAAATGTTCGTCATGCTGCCTGGAAGTTGAAGTTTTAACCTTATGAAGTACTGTCAGGGGTACTGTACTGTACAAAGTACTGCCAGCGGTACTGTACTGTACGAGGTACTGTCAGGGGTACTGTACTGTACGACGTACTGTTAGGAGCACTGTATTGTACCAAGTACTGCCAAGGGTACTGTCAGGGGTACTGTACTGTACAAAGTACTGCCAACGGTACCGTACTGTACGAGGTACTGTACAAAGTACTGTTAGGAGCACTGTATTGTACCAAGTACTGCCAAGGGTACTGTCAGGGGTACTGTATTGTACCAAGTACTGCCAAGGGTACTGTCAGGGGTACTGTACTGTACAAAGTACTGCCAACAGTACCGTACTGTACGAGGTACTGTACAAAGTACTGTTAGGAGCACTGTATTGTACCAAGTACTGCCAAGGGTACTGTACTCTACGAAGTACTATTAGGAGTACTGTACTGTACGAAGTACTGCCAGAAGTATTGTATTGTACGAAGTACTGCCAAGGGTACTGCCAGGGGTACTGGACTGTACGAAGTACTGTCAGGAGTATTGTATTGTACGAAGTATTGTACTGTACGAAGTGCCGTCAATACTGTAGGTACAGCGAGTACAAAATGTAGTACCTTGGCTCTAAGCTTGTCTTAAGTACTCTAGAGCTATTGTAGCACTATTGAGGAATGTACTGTAGTACTGTAGTACTTCAGGGCTATTGTAACACCAAAATGTACTGTAGTACCGCCGAGATACTGTAGCCCAGGGGAATGTCTTGATGCCAGGGTACTGAAGTACCACTGAAAAGCTGGAGTATCAAAACCAGGGTACCACAGGAAGTGTAGGAAACGGTTCTCCGGGATACTGTAGCATTGGGATACTGTAGCGCTATTGTAGCGCTATTGTAGCGCTATTGTAGCGTCACTCTTGCGTACTTTAAACCTTATAAGTCTTTTATCAGCTTAAACTCACCTAGAACGACGGAAAGCAACGGAAATCCGGCTCCATGGATAAAAGCTGAGACACCACCGATGAAAATCCATAAGTAATCGAGAGGTTTTAGGTAGGACAACTAAATTGAAGGATAAGTGATTTAAGTGCCGTACTATAAGTTTAATAAGTACTACCGTCAAAACTGTAAAAGAAGCGGGGGTGGGACAAATGCGACCTTTTTTTGCTGGAAAAGGCCTTAGGCAAGGCCGTAGAGCATCGAAAATATTTCCATATAAGGGAATCGTATGCGTAGATTCCGAATTTCGACAAATCAGACCTCGCTGATACGTCAAATTTGGGCTAAAAGGCAAAAACTACGCAACTTAACGCTTTTCCGTAGTTGGAAAAGGCATACGGTGGACGTATACGTGGACAAAGTATACGGTGGACGGTCCGAAAGGCATCTGTCGTCAGAATTTTATTATTTCAAGAGGGAATTCCCTTTAAATTGATTTAAAGTAAAATGAAATTAAACCCAATTTGTTTAATTACTTTTTTAATTATTATTTTTAATTTATTGGTTTGGTGAATTGAAAACTGCGGGCGATTGTCAATGGTCACAGTTTGAGCACTTTCTTCAAAAGAAACCCATTTTGGTGTCAATGGGAAAGTTGTAGAGAATCAAAAATGAAGCTTATCTCCAAATTTTCAGAACGATCCAAAAACCGGTTTTCAAGAAATGCCAAATTTACGAATTTTCACAAATGAAATGACGGAAAAGGGGGGGAGGGGTTACCGTATCTGTCTGTCTTTCTGTCTGTCTTTCTGTCTGCCTTACTGTACGGGCATTTTTCCAGCCGTATTTTGACCAATATTTCATTTTTCATTTTGGTTTTCAAGAAATGCCAAATTTACGAATTTTCACAAAACTTGCATCTTAAGCGAAACTACTAAGTGTATCTTTTTGAAAATTTGGCTATAAGCCTAATTTTTGATTCTCTACAACTTTTCTATTGACACCAAAATGGGTTTCTTTTGAAGAAAGTGCTCAAACTGGGTCCAAACTGGAAATCTCCAGTCCTCCATTTTTGAGTCTCACACTTGTCTCACACACAAACCAAAATCCTACTACGAAATTGCCTCCGCAAATTGCCTGTAAAATGGGCAGAAGTCTTCAATAATAATGGAAATTATTTGGAATGATTTGATGGTTTTATGTTAAATAAATTTTAGTTCAAAGTCCCGCAGTTTTCAATTCACCAACCCAATAGTTGAAAATCTAATATGATGTTTAGAAATTGTCTAGGAATTGTCTAGGAATACAGTCATGGACAAAAGTCTTTTAACGTTGGTTTTTAGAAGTTTTTTCTTTGTATATCTTGATCCAAATCCGACCAATTTGCAAACGGTTAAAAGATAGAAATCAATAGGAAAAACAGAAAAAGAAGAAATTTCTCGAGAAAACTGTGATGTTAAAAGACTTTTGTTCATCAATTTTTTGGCTCAAATTTTGTTTTATTAAAAAGTTCATGGCACCTGATAAATTGTCAAATCCATCTTTTTGTAATGTTAAAATTAGAGATAATAAGCTCTTTAAATCTTTTATTCTCTACAACTTTTCTATTGACACCAAAATGGTTTTCTTTTGAAGAAAGTGCTCAAACTGTCACATATGACAATAGCCGGCAGCTTTCAATTCGCCAACCCAATAGAAAAGTTGTGTTTACAAATTTGAGCTCAAATTTTTGCTATGAAGGATTTAAAAGTGCGATACTGACCAGTTTGATCAGCTTTTATCTCCAATGAAAACCCGTTAAGCACTTGGATTTGAGCTTGAGTCGGATAGTTGAAATGGAGCTTGTTCAAAGAGATCGATCCAGTCAATTTCTAAGTTATTTCTTTAAAAGAATGAACTTTTAAAGTTGTTGTAGTGAACGTGGTTCAAACTGGTTCAAAGTGGTGTCAAAGTTCACCTTTTGAAGCCCTTTCTCCGAAAGATTATTGATTTTTGTCGGATGGTTGACGAGATTGAAAATTTTCAGAACGATTCAAAAACTGGTTTTCAAGAAATGCCAAATTTACGAATTTTCACAAATGAAATGACGGGGGGGGGGGGTTACGGTATCTGTCTGTCTTTCTGTCTGCCTTACTGTACGGGCATTTCCAGCCGTATTTTGACCAATATTTCATTTTCATTTTGGTTTTTAAGAAATGCAAAATTTACGAATTTTCACAGAACTTGCATTTTAAGCGAAACTACTAAGTGTATCTTTTTGGAAATTTGGTTATAAGCCTAATTTTTGATTCTCTACAACTTTTCCATTGACACCAAAATGGGTTTCTTTTGAAGAAAGTGCTCAAACTGGGTCCAAACTGGAAATCTCCAGTCCTCCATTTTTGAGTCTCACACACAAACTAAAATCCTACTACGAAAGAGGAATCCGCAAATTGCCTGTAAAATGGGCAGAAGTCGTCAATAATACTGGAAATTATTTGGAATGAATTCATGGTTTTATGTTGAATAAATTTTAGTTCAAAGTATCGCAATTTTCAATTCACCAACCCAATAATTGAAGCTCATTAAACTCGAAAAACTCACCAAATTCGTCACCTCCTTGATCGGCTTTTCTTTTTTCATAGTCGCAAATTAAAAGTTTGAATGCATTCAGATAAAATATTGAAAATAAAAGATTTATCTGGAAACTTTTAAGACATTCAAAACACAAAGTGAAAAGAAGTGCAGTTTTGCCATTTTTGAGTATAGAAAAGTGCGATAAATAGGAAAGATTTTTGAACAAAAAATGAGAGAAACTGGATATCATTTATCCGAAATATTTTTGCAAATAGAGATATGAAATATTTTATCGAAAAAATCTCTTTGTTGAAATGTCTGGATTTTTAAATGAAAAAAGCTCTAAATGAGTCATTGAACAGCTTTTTTTTTTGATTTTTGACGAAAACTTTCATTCGCCATTCCCCTCCGCAGTCTCTTTGAGATGATTTTGCTTCAAAGTGTTTCGAAGAGAAGAAATTGTCGAGTTTTTACTCTAAAACTTTCCCTTAGAAAACAAATCAAATTTCAACCAAACCTTGATCATTTTCTGCATATTTAGATAAGTATTCGTATTCATGAATTTCTTCTCGAGTTCGCTTTCTTTCATCGATAACTGAAAGGAAACAGTGTGACTCTAAATCTTAGCTTTCAATTAGCTGTGCAAAATACTTTACTTGTTAGGAAAGGATGTTTGAAACGAAAACTTCCGATTAAGGACAGATCAGTAGGACTAGAGCCTGACCTGCTTGATCTGCTTGACTTGGTCAATAAGCTGAACACTGACCCAGGCTCAGGCTTAGGCTAAGCCTGCTTGACTTGGCCAATAAGCTGAACACTCCCCCAGGCTCAGGCTTAGGCTAAGTCTACTTGACCTGTTTGACTTGGTCAATAAGCTGAACACTGACCCTAGCCTAAGCCTAACAAGGGAACCTTCCAAAGTTACCCGCGAGTTACAATATGATGTAGGTGCCAAAAGAAAGGCCGGAAAATGTACGTTCGGAAACTGTTTTCAAAAACCGCTAATCGGCAAAACGCACAAAGTTATAACCATTTGAATTTCGAAAAAATAAAGGCTTTTCTCGAATTGCTGGCACACTGATTTTTGCCGGTGGAAAGGCTTTCCTTTCGCCATCCGAAAAGTCAGCTCGTAGCCTAGTGGTTAGTGTTCGTAGCCATGCTCGTAGCCTGCGCTTGGAACTCTTTGATCTTGGTTCGGACTCACCAGCAGTCAATCTTTTTGCTTTTTTTGATCCTTTTTTGATTATTAGAAATTTGTATAATGTTATTTAATGATTGACAAGGCCGGTTCAAGGCCTTGTCTCTTAATCGATTGGATTTTTACTTCTTTCAATCAATTTAAAGGCGTAATGAAAAGAATTCACGATCACATTCGAGCCAGCGACCCGGATTTTAAAAAAAAAACGCCTCTACTCTTTGTTCCACAATCAAAAAATGAACTGTAACAACTATTTGGATCTCCTAAAGAAGTGTTGAAATACACTTTGAACTTTAAAAAACCAGACTTTGAAACTTTGAAACTTTGAAATACTTAAAAAGTGTTTTGAAAGGTTTTTAGTGTTTTGACAAAAAAAGCAAAGGCTTAAGTTGACGCCATTCTCTAGTTAACTTACCGTAAATACTGTAATAGTACCCCACCGCCCTCGTACAGTCGCGTAGTCGCAAATTTAGTATTGCATTTTTTCGCAATTTTAGTATTTCATTTTTTTCAAAGCGCCCGTACTATCAAAAAATGCGTTTTTGGTATCAAAAAATAGCTGAAATTCAGGGCTATTTTTTGAAACCAAAACGAACATTGTAGCAGAAACCAGTGCCGAGAAAAACTCGTCCAAAGCTAGACTACACAACACTCCGCACTGTCATTATGGGGGTGGGGTACTATTACAGTATTTACGGTAGCTAAATGTCTTGATCTCTTTTCTAATTTTACCTCTTTCGTAATCTCCTCTAATCTTCTCGACAAATTCTCGTGTTCGACCTCGATTTTCTTCCTTTTCCCCATTTCCCTCTCGCTTGCCTCATAGATTTCTTTCAGCGTTCGCTCTCTCGAGCTCAACTCTTTCTCGAGCTCCTCTCGTGTGCCTGTATCTAAATTATCAAGAAATTATCAACAAAACTTTTTCAAGGGTTTATATTTTCCTTCAAGCTTCAAAACCCCAATCAAAACCCACCCCAATCCACTGATTGAGCGATTCGTTTCAGCTTCTCATTTTCCTCTCTCAACTCGCTGTTCTCCAAGTCTCCCGATGAGATTTTCAACCCGGAAAAGTCGTTTAAAAGTGAGCTTTTCTAAATTTTTGGTTTTCAAATGATTCTTTAACAAAATACCCCAGATATCCCTTTCTCAAAATCGGCAACCGCATCGAGGAGGCTACGATTTTCGATCTCCGAGAAATTCGCGAAAAGTTTCACATTTTCTTTTTGAGCCTAAAAAATTGCTATTTGCTACATTGTCTAAGATTAGATTAGATTAGATGTCTAAGATTGTCTAAGATTAGATTTTTGTGTTACCTGAAAGAAGAATTGACGAAGAAGCAAGAAATTCAAGTGCCCCAGATAGAGGAGATCCGCCTCGAGCTCGGTGTTGATCAAATTTTGAAGCTCATCGATTTCCCGCTTAACCTCGTCTTTTGTGTAGTGTGAATCTTTGAGCTTCAGCTTTCTGGAAAAATGAAAGCTATGACTAATGAATGCTAGGAGTGCTAATGCGAATGAATGAATGCTAATGAAAGCTAGGAGAATGACAACTCTTTTTGGCCTTTGGAGAATGTAGTAAAGGACTCCGAAAGTGGCCAGGTGGTTAAGCCAGATCCGGCTACGACATATCTCGATTAGCAAGACTTACCGTAGCTCAGGAAAGCAGTACATTAACTAAAAGCAAGACGACACTAACTACAAGCCAATGAAGGGATACAAAGAATAGAGCTATGGACGTAGACTAAGCTAGAGGCCAAGTTTAACAGTTCTATAACCCCCTTTAATAAAAAATATAAAAAATACAAGTTTGAAAGCTTTTCTCGTTAGCAAAATCCGAAATCCGAAAGCATCATCCTACTCGCCGTATTCAATAGGTATCCCATTTTGGTGCCGAAATCTCATGGTCACTTCTGCCATTTCCTTGTAAGCTAGAGAAGAGACCGAGGTACAAAAAGGACCAAGGACCAAGGACCAAGGTCCCCAGATCCGCAGAAAAGTCAGGCACAAACTCTAGATCTCTTTTATGGGTCAAGCGAAGTCTAGGACAGACAGACAAACAGAACATATTGTATCTATTAGGGTTGTTCATAAATTCTTGCGGCTCTTAAATTTGTGATTTCTTAAAAATCAGCCAACATTTTGATCTAAAATTTCTGAATAATCTGTAAGTATTGGGCTAGTGAATTGAAATTGAATTGAAATTGAATTGAAATTGAATTGAAAACTGCGGGCTATTGTCATATGTGACAGTTTGAGCACTTTCTTCAAAAGGAACCCATTTTGGTGTCAATGGAAAAAAAAAGACTGAAAAAATAAAACACGACGAAAGATTGAAAAATTCTTTGTGGCGGGGTCCTTTTATTGCGTCGGGTTACGGTAGTTTCCGACGTTTGGCGCGGAAACGTCTGAAAGGCAAAGTATACGGTGGACGGTCCGAAAGGAATCTGTCGTCAGAATTTTATTATTTCAAGAGAGAATTCCTTTAAATTGATTTAAAGTAAAATGAAATTAAACCCAATTTGTTTAATTACTTTTTTAAATTATTATTTTTAATTTATGGGTTGGTGAATTGAAAACTGCGGGCTATTGTCATATGTGACAGTTTGAGCACTTTCTTCAAAAGAAACCCATTTTGGTGTCAATGGAAAAGTTGTAGAGAATCAAAAATGAGGCTTATATCCAAATTTTCAGAACGATTCAAAAACTGGTTTTCAAGAAATGCCAAATTTACGAATTTTCACAAAACTCGCATTTTAAGCGAAACTACTAAGTGTATCTTTTTGGAAATTTGGTTATAAGCCTAGTTTTTGATTCTCTACAACTTTTCCATTGACACCAAAATGGGTTTCTTTTGAAGAAACTGCTCAAACTGGGTCCAAACTGGGACATCTCCAGTCCTCCATTTTTGAGTCTCACACTTATCTCACACACAAACCAAAATCCTATTACGAAATTGCCTCCGCAAATTGCCTGTAAAAGGGCAGAAGTCGTCAACAATAATGGAAATTATTTGGAATGAATTTATGGGTTGATGTTGAATAAATTTTAGTTCAAAGTCCCGCCGTTTTCAATTCACCAACCTAATATATATTAACTTAGATAGAATTTGATGACGATTGCTTGGTTCAATCGAGAGTTTGCTTCATTGCTTGGTTCTCAGCTCTACGGGAACATTTTGTACAAAAAAGTACAGAAAAGGGAAAACTTGCAAGCTTTGTCTGACTTTATGTGGTCAAAACCCAGCTCTGACCCTAACACTGGCTCGGTTTGGGGCTCAGAAAACTTTTATAAAACAAATGTACCTCTTTTGAAATATCGCTTCAAAACTTTTCAATGACGTTGCCCGTTTCGAAGTGGATAGAGTCAAAAATTGACGTAACAAGTGCTCATAATGAGAATTTAAACCGGATGATGACATTAGCAATATATTAAAATAATATAAATCGATTTCTGTTCTAAAAATAGACCAATTTTCAGGGTTTCCACATTTTTCTTCTTTCTGCATTGTTGACGCGTCACCATGGCGGCAAAAAAAAAATAAAAACAACACCGATTTTTGAGAGAAATTTGGAGGAAACTCAAAATTCGTAAGAGTTTTGGCAGAAAAATTTAGATTTTATAATATAAATACTAAAAATTAGCTAAACTGAGATGCTAATATTGGAAATTGGATGCTAATATTGGAAAATTTTAATAGCATGATAGATTTGAGCCTTAGATTTCTAATCTATTAGTTTAGGTAAAAAAATTGGTTTGTTTATCTTGCTCCGAATTAGATTGGAGCCGTATCCGAACCATATTGGAACCATATTGAAACCATATTGGAACCATATTGGAACCGTATCCGAACCATATTGGAACCGTATCCGAACCATATTGGAACCATATTGGACCGTATCCGAACCATATTGGAACCGTATCCGAACCATATTGGAACCATATTTGAACCATATTGGAACCATATTGGAACCGTATCCGAACCATATTGGAACCATATTTGAACCGTATCCGAACCATATGGGAACCGTATCCGAACCATATTGGAACTGTATCCGAACCATATTGGAACCATATTGGAACCGTATTGGAACCATATTGGAACCATATTGGAACAATATTGGAACCGTATCCGAACCATATTGGAACTGTATCCGAACCATATTGGAACCATATTGGAACCGTATCCGAACCATATTGGAACCGTATCCGAACCATATTGGAACCATATTGGAACCGTATTGGAACCATATTGGAACCGTATTGGAACCATATTGGAACCATATTGGAACAATATTGGAACCGTATCCGAACCATATTGGAACCATATTGGAACTGTATCCGAACCATATTGGAACAATATTGGAACCGTATCCGAACCATATGGGAACCATATTGGAACCGTATCCGAACCATATTGGAACTGTATCCGAACCATATTGGAACCATATTGGAACCGTATCCGAACCATATTGGAACTGTATCCGAACCATATTGGAACCATATTGGAACCGTATTGGAACCATATTGGAACCGTATTGGAACCATATTGGAACCATATTGGAACAATATTGGAACCGTATCCGAACCATATTGGAACCATATTGGAACTGTATCCGAACCATATTGGAACAATATTGGAACCGTATCCGAACCATATGGGAACCATATTGGAACCGTATCCGAACCATATTGGAACCGTATCCGAACCATATTGGAACCATATTGGAACCGTATCCGAACCATATTGGAACTGTATCCGAACCATATTGGAACCATATTGGAACCGTATTGGAACCATATTGGAACCGTATTGGAACCATATTGGAACCGTATTGGAACCATATTGGAACCATATTGGAACAATATTGGAACCATATTGGAACTGTATCCGAACCATATTGGAACAATATTGGAACCGTATCCGAACCATATGGGAACCATATTGGAACCGTATCCGAACCATATTGGAACTGTATCCGAACCATATTGGAACCATATTGGAACCGTATCCGAACCATATGGGAACCATATTGGAACCGTATCCGAACCATATTGGAACTGTATCCGAACCATATTGGAACCGTATCCGAACCATATTGGAACCATATTGGAACAATATTGGAACCGTATCCGAACCATATTGGAACCATATTGGAACCGTATTGGAACCATATTGGAACCATATTGGAACCGTATCCGAACCATATTGGAACCGTATCCGAACCATATTGGAACCATATTGGAACCGTATACGAACCATATTGGAACGGTATCCGAACCATATTGGAACCATATTGGAACCATATTGGAACCATATTGGAACCATATTGGAACCATATTGGACTCTTGAATTGAATTGAGTGCACCAGATGGCTTTTTGAGGTAACCAATCTCAAAATTCCAGTCATTTATCTCTCAATCAATCCATTTCTAGTACTCTTAATGTTTTTTTTGAGTACGAGACGCAATTTTTGCAACAACTGCTCAAAGAAGAAACACCAAACGTCGTTGATTACTTTTCAGCAAAAAAAAAGAGTTGAACACCTGCACCTAAGCAATTTTCGAGTCATTTTTAAAACCCAATTTAGATTATCTACAGAGTGGCCCATAATTATAGGTGCAGTAGCTCAGGCTATTATTATTATTATATTAATCTATTATTATTATATTAATCTATTATTATTAACTATCTCGATCTCCTCAAAGCTGGAATTTTGCACTGAGCACAAAAGCGTTTCAAAAATCAAATTTAAACATTCCAACAAAACCGGGCTTCGGCCCATAAAACGATAAAAGTTCAAGATTTTTGCAAAGTGAAGCTTCTTGATTTCATCTCTTTCTGAATGGCTGCCCAGCCGATCTCAATCCGATGGATTATTCTGCCTGGTCCGTCCTTGAGGCAAAGGCCTGCTCAAAAATGCTGAAAGTTTGAAGAAAAGTCTTCTGAAAGTCTGGGATGAACTAGATGATGCTTACTTACAAGGGAAGATCAACTGGTTAAGCCGGTTCAATGCTATCCGACCTCTACCATTCGACGCAGAATTTTATGCTGATTCCGAATCTATTTTCCGTTTTTGCCAAATGAAAATCTGTCAGAAGTTATAAGCGTCTGCAGTTTTGTTAGGAATCCGTTATATATTTTTCATTATTATACAGGGTGACCAAGAATTACCGCTACACACAAAAGGCCTGGCTTTTAACCAAATATGCAACCCATCTCGAAAAGTTAACTTAAATATCTTTATTCAACATATTACAGTAACAAATTAGCAATTAAATTCAAATTTGCCTCTATTAAGACTAGCGGACAAACGTCGGACGATGACATGCAACCTAAATATAGACAGAATTAGGCACAATCTAAAAAACATTTACTAACTCCAAACCATGATTCCTCCACCATTGAATTTGATTTTAGGACGCATATACTTGAGATTATAGCGTGTTCCAACAGGCCGACGAATCATTTGACCAATTTATGGATTTTGGCGAGATCGAGCTCGAAGGTTGGATTTTGTCGTAAAAATCATTGCACTACCGACCTTTGACACTTCGATTCCAGGCGGTGACTGAATGAGGGAATAAATGGACACAATTTTGCCTACCAAAGACAATTATTCGTTTAATATGTTACTATATTGGGTTGGCGCTTATGAAACGTTGGATTTTTC